CTTTGCCATAAAACTTTTTGTACAAACACCAATATTCAAATATACCCAAATAAAATCTCATTAATTTTTACTCAGCATTTATTTATGTATTTTTTATAAATTAATGATGTCACATCTTATTTTTGATAAATCCATTAAATATATTATTATTATTATCATCATCTAATTTTGTACAAAATTTTTGATTTAATTTTGTATATGAGAATGCTTTATTTTATTGTGAATTTTTAAATAAAATTAAAAATAAATTGTATAATTTTTACTCCATATACTCGTATAATTTTTTAAAGAAATGGACATGTAATCATTTTTTTTATAAATTTTGTTAAAATCAAATCAAAAAGTTTGTTTAGATACCACGGAGAAAGTATAAGCATAGGGGATGTTTGTTTCAGCTTCTTAATGGTTCAGATATCTTAATGGTTCAGCACTTAATGGTTCAGACTGTTTGTTTCAGCCTCTTAATGGTTCAGATGTCTGAATGGTTAAGAGATTTGCCTCTGAATGGTTAAGTATTATACAGAGTCTGAATGGTTAAGACCTCTTATCTGAATTGATCAGACATTTGCCTCTGAATAGTTAAGCAATATACTAGCTCTTAATGGTTCAGACCTCTTACTGGTTCAGCACTTAATGGTTCAGACTTCTTACTGGTTTAGCACTTACCGATTCAGAAGTTACCAAACAGCCCCATAGTGTTTGTCGCAAGTTTAAACCAAAGCATTTATGACTAATAAAAAGGTTGCTTTCTATTCTTTCTTTTTTTTAACCAGAGCACTGCTTTATTATCACTCGAGCAAAATGTTTGTTTACACCTTCAACATCAAGTACTATAATAAGAATATGTTCTTTAGGGCTAGAAAAAAAGAGCTAAATGTTAAAAAAGATAGAAAAAACTAGAAAAAAATTGTAAAAGACTTGAAAAAACTAAAAAAACTGGAAAAAATAAAAGGAACTTCAAAAAGTTATTTAAAAAATTAATTTCTATGGATAAGAGTAAAAATTGTGAAAATGTCAAAATATAAATCTTACGTCTTTTAAGATTAAAATAAGAGTATGATGGCAGTGTGATATAAGGATATGTGCTGGTAGTGTGATGGGAAAGTGATGCCAATGTAATATAACAGTGTGATTAGTCAATCGTCGATGATCCACGTCGGCACTCTAGTGGTATTGTCGTGAGTGCGAGAGTGTAGGATCATGCAACACTAACATAACTTGAACAACTATTCATTGAATTTTCAAAGTTGAAGGGTTAGCCATGCATAACAATAACTTGAAGGACAAACGATAGAATTTAGTATATTTAAAAAATACTTCGAGTTTCCTTTGATTTTATGGTGAGAACTCTTAGGTATTTGAAATAAACTTTAGGAGTTCTTAAAATTTTTGGAAATATACTCCAAAAGTTTTTGGTCGTTAGGATGGAAAGTCTTATTACTTTGACAAATACTCACTCCGTCCCGGAGTATTCGTACAGTTTTGACTTTTGGAACTGTTCATCTAAGCACATTGACTCATCAAATTCTCTCAATGTGTAAGTCTAAATATAGTCATGTGTGATCTTGTTTGATTTGTCTTAATATATACTCCGTAGATTATTAATATATAATTTCTATAATTTTTAATATACAAATTACAAAATAAAATGGATTAAAGAAGTGTATTGAATGGCGTGTAAAAATGAAAGTGGACAAATACTCTGGGACGGAAGTAGTACCAAATTTTATCTTGATAATCATTATATATAAAATTTTATTAAAATCTTATAGTTTATCAAATTAAAAGAATTTCAATCCTAACGCTTAAATGAGCGGAATATACCCGTGGAATATAACAACATAAATTCAAAGGACCACAAATTATATTTGGAAATTGGAATAATGTGACATCTGAAAGTTATTACTACAAAAAAATAGAGAATATCATAGAATATAATATGTGGAGGACTTAATAATACTAGTCGGTTCAAAAGGGACCGGACTGGACTACCGTGACCAAAGCTACTTTTGGAGTTTGAACTGTATCCCTTTTCCTCTGAACAAAACCATCCACATTGTGATCAATTCCAACAACCTGCGAATTCACAGGAACTCTCTGATATACACAGAAGCCAAAGAAGAGTTCGCTCGAGCGCAGATCTGCCGGCGAACACAAGCGGTCGGTAGGGGTGATCATCGGCAAAGATAGGAGCGTGCCTGTCAAGCGGGAGGACCCCAGCCGGGGGGGTTAAACCCTTGGCGGGTCCGAAGATGCTTTCCAGGAGACTCTCGTCTCCGATTCCCATCCGGTCGTCGCCGTTGCAGTTGCCGGAAAACGCTTCCGGCAGCAGCGGGAGTGGAGACGCGAAGATGAAGGTTTTGTTCAAGTCCAAGCCTAGGACTCCCGTTGACCTCGTTCGTCAGACTCGCGAGTTCCTCATCTACGCTGAACACAGCTCAGATTCCGATCCTCGTGAGAGCAAGCGCGAAGAAAAGGTATAGTTCCGATTTAAAATGTCTCTGGGATGATGCTTTTTGTGCTAATCCCCAAAATTTACTCCGTGTTAGTTTGAATCCCGATCAAATATTCAAATGCATTATGAATATAGGTGTTTTCGATTAGTATTGGTTTATTTGTTCGTTGCTCTGAATATACAGAGTTAGAAGTAAGATTAAAGTCCTACATTGGACCCTTGAGGGTCGCTTAAATAGCAAAAATTAGAGAGGAATCCCCCCACGAAGCACCTTTTGGGGTGTGAGTTGGCTAGTTATTCCCAACAAAAATTACGGAGTACAATATATCTAATATATAAATATATTTGTTGTCGTCTATGCTTGAGCCCCTGGGCCTCATGGAAAGAGCCAGCCTCTTTATCTTTCATAGGTAGGGGTAGGGTATGCATATACCCTCCCCTCCCAGACTCCACTTGTGGGATTTTACTAGGTTGGTTATTGTTGTTTTTTTAGTAAAGGATTTAGAGGTGTGACACTATAGAAGAGATCTTGTCTAAGTAAGGTCACAGGTTGGTTATTGTTGTTGTTACAACTTTCATTTGAATATTTGTATTTTATTACATTTCCCATTATTTGCAGATGGTTGAGTTGAGCAAGCTTATTCGGGATTTAAAGCATGTTCTTTATGGGAATAGTGAAGCTGAGCCTGTAGCAGAGGCTTGCACCCAATTGACTCAAGAATTCTTTAGAGAGAACACTCTGCGCTTGTTAATAAGCTGCCTTCCTAAATTTAGTTTAGAGGTAATATTTGTGAGCTTCTCTCTCATCATATAACATAACTAGGAAATCAGACTGTCCACAATCTTGATATAGGGTATGATTTTACTATCATCATTTTTGAGTCTTGACTGCTTTTTTGTCACCTATCATGTTCACACCATTAAAGACTACTTGGACTTGCAGACTCGTAAAGATGCCACTCAGGTTGTTGCAAATCTGCAAAGGCAACAAGTTCAGTCACGGTTGATTGCTTGTGATTACTTGGAAGCTAATATTGATCTGATGGATATATTGGTAGCCGGGTAAGCTACAATTTGACATGTATTTGGAAAATTGTGTCAACATGATTGTCAATGGTGTTGCTTTGCTGTTTACTTGAGTTGGGTTGTTTAGTCTGTCACACACTCACACTTAACATTGTTTTTGTGTTTTCTGTTTCATACCCTTGTTCTATGAAACCTCAGATAAAGTAGTTTGAAACAGACATAGCTCTTTAAGAAAAATGGCTAGAACTAATTGTTTGTTTTTTCTTCTGCTCGGGTGTCGTGAAGAATGGATGATAAATATCTTAGTTTGTGTGAAGAATCGATGATAAATATCTTAGTTTGTGTGAAGAAATCTATGTTGCATCTTGCATGGTTGCACTAAAAAGTAAAAACATATATCTTTTCATAATCTCTATTACTTTGTCATACTGACTTATTATATGCCACTACCCTTTGCTTATAGATTTATGTATCGTACAATCATTAACTAGATTATAGCTTCAATAAAATAATGAATTGTAACAGTTTTGTTATACTGGATAGTGCTACTGGAAGTATATTATAAATCAGGTTATCGTATCTGGGTTGTGGAAAAGACAGTTTGCTGATCTTCTATTTGATAGTTATTTAATTATTGTCACTATCTATCAATGATTGCAAGATTCTATTTGCTGTATTAATCAGTTATGATAATGCGGACATGGCATTGCATTATGGCTCTATGTTGAGGGAATGCATTCGCCATCAGAGTGTTGCCAAGTAAGAATCATACATGAATTTAATTCATTATTCTTTCTTGTCTTCATTATAGTATGACATAATATGATATTCCTGTACCTCCATTTTTTGGTTTGAAGGTATGTGTTGGAATCCGAGCACATGAAGAGGTTTTTTGAGTACATACAGTTTCCAAATTTTGACATTGCTGCAGATGCTGCTGCAACTTTCAAGGTTGAATGAAAATTTATACATTACTAGGATCGGAAGGGGTTCAACTGGATCAAAGCCCGTGTCCTTGTGCCCCCCACCCCACAAAAAAAACACACACACAGACACGGACCATTTAAATGATGCATGCACTGTATTTTCTCGGTATGTACTCTCCCAGCTAGTGATTGATTAAAATTCTCATTCCACGGTTGTATAAATCATTCAGGAACTATTGACAAGACACAAATCTACAGTAGCAGAGTTTCTCTCGAAGAACTATGATTGGGTAAGCAAATTTCAATAGGTTATCTCAGTGTTTGATAAATGCCTCTGAAAGTTGAAACTTTTCTGATGAGTTGTAGCACCAATATCAGAATGACCAGATATGAACTCAATGTATACTATTTATTTTTAAAAGTATTTGGCTTCATTGGTTTTTAAAATTTGCTTAACTTGAAGTTTCTTTCTAAGTGAAGTTAGTGCAGGCTAAAATAGCTAAATACTCCATAAGTGCTTTTATTATAAACAGTTCACAGCAAGCTCTAAATAACTTCAATGGAGGGTTCCTTTTGAAAAGTTCATTAAAATAGCATTTGAGAATCAGCTCAAAACTTTTCAAAATCTGTCAGCTCTTACTTTTAAGCTCACACAAATGCAACAAAAAGTCAGCATCAGGGCTTTCAGCAATATGTAAGGTTTTATCAAAAGTAGATCTGATTCAATTTCATATTTCAATAATTAAAGAAACCATTTATGACCTGTATATTGTGCTTATCGACTGCACATGTTTTGGTTTCTAGTTTTTTGCAGAGTACAACTCAAAGCTGCTAGAGTCTGCCAATTATATTACTAGAAGACAGGCTGTTAAAGTGAGTGAACTTTCCCTTCCTTTTATATGAAGTTTTCCCTGTCCAGATAAATTGTAATATCCAGTCTCATACTCATATGGCTTAATAGGTTCAAAATAAGGGTTTAGGAAATAGGAATTGTCAAGGGTAAAATTTGCATATTACCATTTTTAATGCTTTTTTTTTGAATTCACGTGCTCTGTTCTTGCAGCTATTGGGGGATATTCTACTGGACAGATCTAACTCTGCAGTAATGACACGATATGTAAGCTCAAGGGACAACTTGAGAATTTTGATGAATCTTCTCAGGGTTAGTTCCTACACTAGTCCTCCACTTCTCCATGAATTAGTCTTTGTTTTTCAATGAATAATTTACCAACTTCACAATTCTCTTTGTTGTCATGTCAAAATCATCATGTCACAGGAGACTAGCAAGAGCATTCAGATTGAAGCATTTCACGTTTTTAAGGTACACAACGCATGGTAGTCTTTTTAAAGTCATTTCATACTTAATCAAAAATCCCTTACAAGTTATAACCCCTCGCACATGTGCGCATGCCACCTTTGCCGGAATCACCTTGGGGGGCACGTGTCCTACTGTCCCCCATCTCCTCTCCTCCGCCACTGCATAGTCATGAAGAGCCATACTCAGAAGCTTTGACAATTTCTTTTTCTTTTTACAGTTATTTGCGGCCAACCAGAATAAGCCTCCAGATATTGTTGGCATCCTTGTTGCAAACAAAAGCAAGCTTCTTCGCCTCTTTGCTGATTTTAAGACGGACAAAGGTGCATCTAGCAAAACTAATAAGTGTCAAGAAACCAATCTAACCAAAAGCTCAAGCTTGTAGTTGTAATCCCAGTAAAAAAATTGTATTCTAATATGCCCCTTTACATGCACCCGAGATTAGTTTTTGCTCGAGTTTTGCGCATGAACACTACTTTTTTAAAAATTGGATGGTGGTAAAGGATTAAACTCGTAACCTTTAGGTCATCAAGGCTATCAAAGCCAAGACTTACAAGCTAAAAAAGAAGCCTAAGTCTATTCGAGCAAGTGACCACTCGAGTGAAAAAAGATCCTTGTTAGGGGATGTTGAGGATATAGTCCCACATTGAACCCGAGACTGAAAAAGACTAACATATAAGAATATGAATCAATCTTCTTATAGTTGATTGGTTTTTGGTTGAAATCTCATAATTCTACAAGGACTGTTTACTTTGACTCTGAACCGTTTCGTTTTCTCACGCGTGTAATTCTTTTTATGGTTGCATTTGCAGAGGATGAGCAGTTTGAGGCAGACAAAGCTCAAGTTGTAAAAGAAATCGCGGCCCTTGAACCGAAAGATCGTTCATGAGAGTGCTGCTTTGCTTTTAGTTAACATCTTATTATTATTATTTATTATGATTATTCATTCAAATTATTGTTTTATATTCCATTGTTTTGGAGAGTTATGATACTCAATACTCTCTGTCTCATAAACGGAGTCATCAGTTTTTTATATGTACATGTTTTTTTTAAATATAAATTTTAGTGGGACACCGCAACTATTAGAGATGATCATATATAGCTACGTTTTTAAATTTATTTGTTGGATAGATAAATTTTTTATATTGAATTTGTTTGTCACAGTCTTTATATAGTACTTTGTCTTTTGTTCCTATTTAAATTGTGTGTTCGCAATTCTGTTTTGGTTTACGATGTTTTGATGAAGTTATTTTCGATGTAGTTTATAGAATTAAAAAATGAAATTTATATATTTAAAAATTACATCAAAAGTTTTATGAAACCAGAGGGGATCATTAATTAAATAAATTTTGATCATTAATTAAATAAAATTTATATTAGATTTCCATATAGGAATAATTTTACTAGATTTATTTTATTTTAGATCAAATATTGATTTTGATTGATTGTAAAAATTTAAAATTGAACAAATATTTTGAAACAGAGTAGTTTCTTAAGATTTCAATTCTACACTAAAATTTAAATAGTTTTTCTAAAATTACTCCACAATCAAAGAGTATGCTCCGGTAAAAAGTAATGTCAAATTTATTAAAGGACTAAGGAATCTAGGATTAGAAAAGAGGATGCCCTATACTATTAGCATATTCCTTGGAATGTCCTTCTAGCTCCATTATTATAATTACCAGATTGTCCTTTTCCACTTTCAGTTAAACTTCCGTTTATACTCCAGTCATTAACAGAACAGGGACTCAGCCAGACAGAGAAAGAGAGAGTGGAAAGAGTCAAGAAAACCTTTACACTCTCATCTTCTCATCACTTTTTTCTTTCTTTCTTTTTTCATCCCACAGAAATGGCAAACACTTCTGGTAATCTACGCCCATTGTTCCATTTTGTCTCTATTTATATAGAATATTTTTCATTATTACTATAATTATTATTATTTCGATGGATTGATTCAGTAGAAGAGTTCTTGGCTGTGGCGGTTGATGCTGCTAAGCAAGCCGGAGAGGTAAATCCCATTTTTTACTTTCTGTTCATTTTATTTTGTTGCTTTATTATTAGGGAGTATTATAGATTCGGGTTCTTGATTAATCTAAAACCACTGGATCAAAGATTTGATTTTTAGGACCATTTCTTGAATGTTCTTGATTTCCTGCACTATATTCTCTATCCAAATTGATTTTATTTATCTAAATTTTCACTTCCCTGGTCGATAACTATATCAAAGTTATCAAAGAATTGGCTGGTGTGGTTGTGACTGATCTTGATTTACTGGATTTCCCCAGATCATACGGAATGGTTTCCACCAGAAAAAGCAAGTTGAACACAAAGGCTCGGTAATTAATCGTATTGCTCCTCTATTCATAGATTATGGCCGTGTTTGGAAACAACATTTTCAATTAGCCCTAGCTTTTTAAAATGAACTTTAATTCTTGGGTAATTTTTTCTTTCATTATACATAGGCATTTGTTATGCATCAATGCTTGTTATAAAATTAAGGTCACAAAGATTATCTAAGCAACAAGATTTGATAATTCCTATACCTGCATTGATTGTATCAGGTGGATTTGGTAACTGAGACAGATAAAGCTTGTGAAACCCTCATATTCAATCATCTCAAGCAACACTTCCCTACCCATAAGGTTCTTTTTTATTATTTTTATTAATTAAAAAAAATCCATTCACAGTTGCATCAAAGTTGCACAATTTACATTCTTTCGGAAACTTTGGGTTTTAATTACGGTTTAGATATATAATCTCTTTGCTTTGGATTAGTTCATCGGAGAGGAAACGACTGCAGCTTGTGGAGCTTCTGAGCTTACAGATGAACCTACATGGATAGTTGATCCCCTTGATGGAACCACTAACTTTGTCCATGGGTAATAATTAAGCACAATTATATTATTATTATTATTATTATTATTATTATTATTATTATTATTATTATTATTATTAGTAGTATTCCCTATAAGTGAACATTATATTGAGTTTTGGGTAACTTAATTACATTTTAATGTTTTAAAAAATGTTGTTTTTATATGCATAACTTGTAGGTTCCCTTTTGTGTGTGTCTCCATTGGTCTCACAATTGGGAAAATTCCAACTGTTGGTGTCGTCTACAACCCGATAATGAATGAGGTGAGGCTTCTAATGCTCTTAGTCTCCTCTTATATGTTCTGTTTGCATGGAGTGGAATGCTTTGGAGGACTTCGTCTTGATACATTCTCCCTCTGCGCGGATCCAATAGTTCCTTTCTTGTTTTCGTTTGTCCGAAATAAGTCCTCCATTTTTCTAACTTCAATAAAAAAAATGTTAATGAAAGACTTATTTCACATGATTGAGTTACATACTCATTTTAAAAGACTTATTTGTCAAACTCACTTCTTTAAAATGCGATTTTTTAGAAAATGGACAACTAAATCCAGACAGAGGAGGGATTATACTGTTTTTTAAAATGAGTATGATCATGTCGATCTTTGAATTCATTAAATCTCAAATGTGACATCAAAATATAGAGTAAGCCTTCGAAAACCCATTCTCTTGCATAGCTTTCCATCCAAACAGACCCTTAAGCACTTGGCTTCCCTTCCTATATTCTGCCCGCCAAATGCTATTCAGATAAACAATTTTTCAAACATATTCTTCGGCTATTTGATAAGGGATTAAAGTTATTTCATTTCAAGTTTACAATTAGTTTGTGTGATTAATTTAAAAGGTTTGACCTGTTGTCTTTTGCATTTTAGCTTTTCACAGGCATCCATGGGAAAGGCGCTTTTCTAAACGGAAACCCCATCAAAGGTGAATTCACATCTCCAAGTTATGATTTTTCTTACATTCATTCATACGATAATGCACACAACTATGAACAAACTAAATAAGATTTGGTTTATGTTCTGTGCAGTGTCTTCCCAAGATGAACTTGTGAAGGCGCTCCTTGTAACTGAGGCGGGAACAAAGCGCGACAAGTTAAATGTTGACTCTTGCACTAACAGAATCAACAAGTTGCTTTTCAAAGTAAGTTTTGAACTTCAATTCCCTTTGAATCGAAATCTACGTTACACATGAAAATTCCAGATTTGACTTGACGCGGAGATTAAGAAAACTGAAAAATGCTTTTGACTTTTCAGTGGTACCGTTGGGTAATCAGTGGGTGGGGTAGATGAGTAGTGGGTATATAGTGGATAACAAAATAAGTGAAGTGCTTAAAAGAGTGTGGCACAAAAGTATTTCTTTTAAAAGAAAAACTTACTTTTTGGGACTTTCCACTCATGCATAGAATGGGTTGTTTATTGACGGTTTTGTCCCTCTTATCGTATGTATGATCAGGTGAGGTCCCTACGAATGAGTGGCTCATGCGCGTTGAATCTATGCGGCATTGCATGTGGAAGGATTGATCTTTGCTATGAACTTGGATTTGGTGGCCCTTGGGATGTGGCTGCTGGTGCTGTGATTGCCCAAGAAGCCGGTGGCGTTCTCTTTGATCCGTGAGTATATACACCCATAAAACCCATTCACTTCTCATTCCCAACCCCTTTCCGGTTTTCACAACCGGTTTATCTGAAGTCAGTTTGAGTCGGTTTTGGTCAACTTTGGTCAGTTCTATCTTCAAAGCTCATACGTTTAGTTAGAAACCGAACCTCAAATGGTTTGAACGGATTTAAACACATATTTTTATATATTGGGTAAGGGTGGACATCTGTGTGTGTGTCAGGTCTGGGAAAGAGTTTGATATCACGTCGCAACGAGTAGCTGCGTCGAACCCTCTGCTGAAGGAAGCTTTCATTGAAGCCTTGAAGCAGATTGAATGATGAGTTTCTTCTTCTCTACTCAGCAGCACATCAAGAAGAAGCACACAAACTCAAATGTACCCAAATAATTATAATTGGTTTACATATTCTTTCTTCCATGTGCTACCTAAGTTGGTATGATATAATGTGAGATTTAGCTCGTAATACAATACCGAATATTTGAATCTTGCATTAGATTTTCAGTCATATTGTTTCTGAAATATTGGTCCGAGTTTAATTAAGTATTCCCACCCTCTCAAATTTGATTACAAATTTTAAATCACGTGTAAAATTTTGAGTATTTTAAATTTATAAATTGGTATAGAAATGAAAAATATGAAATTACATGTTAAAAATTATGTCGCACGTTTCACAAAATAAGAAGTGTGATATTTTTGTTTATTGAATAATCAATGAAAACGTACAAATAAATACAGAGTAAAAATTATTGAAAATTAGAAGAATAATGTGGTAATTAATTATGGGGACAGAGAGAATATATAAACTCCTCATTTAAAAAATATAACAAAACTTTTTTTATACTCTATATTTTTTTGAAAAAATTGGTATTTTAGTATATTTATATTTTTGAATATTAGACCTGCACGATTGTGATAAAATTGTGAACAAGTTTTATTTGATTTTTTGTTAGTCATCGATGATAATTTACAATATATAGTATTACAGTAATAAGTAGCTAATAATTAAAGAGAAAAGTGTTAGTCATCTATGACTATTCAAAGTTCAGACTTTAAACTGATATTTTGACATCTCGATAATTTTTATTTATTTTAATGTTTTTATTTATTTTTTGATAAAACAAAATATATAATATTTCTATCATATCTTATTGTAATGTAAAAACTTATTTTAGTGTAATTTTAAAATGTGAACTTTGTAATTTGTAAATAAATTAATTTCAAAAAAGATAAAATTTTATAGGTTGTTCAAAGTAAGACAGTAGTTTTGGAAAGAGTAAATTCCATAATTGGTCCTTTATAACAGGGGAGTTTCCATATTTAGTCCTTTATTATCAAATATTACTCTCGTAGTCCCTTTTTTAAGGGTACCTTTCCACAAATGGTCCTTTTTTGATTTTCTGCCGTGTTGGTGTTAATTTAAAGGCTCAAAGTATAATTTGACATCAACATTATGTCTAGTGACGTGTTCTGATATTGGTTAAGCGGATAACAAAAAAATAATGACTATGATTGTGGGCTAGGATTCTGACGAAAAATCACATTTGTAGACTATCATTGTCGTAAAAAGTGACTGTAATTCACAAACAACGCAAACGGAACAGCCTTTGGAATTGTGTATGACAAAAAAGATATATTATCATTGTGAAATTACACTTTTAGCCCTCAAATTAACACCAGCATGATAGAAGATCAAAAAAAGGACTATTTGTGGAAAGGTACCCATAAAAGAAGGACCACTGGGGTAATATTTGATAATACATAACTAAATAAGAAAACTCTTCTGTTATAAAGGACCAATTACCAATTATAGAATTTACTCTTTTGGAAAAAAGGGGAATAAATACTGCTTCCTAAAGTAGGAAAAAAAATATTCCGTTGCTGGGCTTCGAACCCAGAGACCTAGTGTTTCAATTGGTAGGTTTAAGCCAATGCTACAACGGATTGGAGATGTTTTCCCCCTTCATTTGTATGAATAATAAAATGTAAGCACTTAGGAATTAGGATACGGAATAATTTTTGAAAAATCTAGAAAGATATTTCTCCGCCCCATAAAAATATTCTCATTTTGACTTTTAAAAAATCTAAGGGTACAATATTTTTGTGTTGAATTTTAAAAAAAATACCTTGATGTGATGAAAAAAAGTATGATGTGATATGTAGATTATTAGTAAAAATGTATGATGTGATAGGTATATGAGACAACAAAAAGGATAAGGAGTTTTTGGGACAGAAGAAGTACTTTTTAAAACCTAGGATGTTTGCTCAATATATGCAAAAAAACCCTCAAATTCATTCCAATTTGTGTATCTCGACCTACCAACTCTAACACCTTCTGATTTATGTCAAAACTAAAATATTACTTCTATTTTACCCTGACGACATGACAGACATTACATTTAAATATCACTAAAGTAAAAAAGAATGAGTTGACATTTTATTTAAAGTGCAAAATGGAAACACTAATTCTGTCTTGGCACACATTATATTCTTGTATAAACAATATTTTGGTTGTGTTCTCTTCAACTTATTCGTATTACTTGTTACTTTTTTTCTTATTGGAATCAATTTAGTTTAAATCAGAAACAACTTTAAGGGGCTGTTTGTTTCAGCCTCTTAATGGTTCAGATGTCTGAATGATTCAGCACTTAATGGTTCAGACTGTTTGCTTCAGCCTCTTAATGGTTTAGATATCTGAATGGGTAAGAGATTTGCCTCTGAATGGTTAAGTATTATACAGAGTCTGAATGGTTAAGAGCTCTTATCTGAATTGATCAGACATTTGCCTCTGAATAGTTAAGCAATATACTAGCTCTTAATGATTCAAACCTCTTACTGATTCAGCACTTAATGATTCAGACCTCTTACTGGTTCATCACTTACACATTCAGAAGTTGCCAAACAGCCCCTAAATATAGCTACATCCAGATCAGATCAAAAATAATTTTAAATGAAATTATATTCAAATCAAACTAGATTAAACCAGATCAGACTAGAACTTATTCCAATCATATTAGAACCATTTAAATCAGGTGAAGAAACACGGCCTTTCTCAATCTAAAAATGTTATATGCTTTGCGAAAATAAAATGCAATGTTTAATCCCTTCAATTTATTTTACTTCAAAGTTTGATATAAAAATAAAACTTAAATTTAAATTAGATCTTTTAGGATGGATAGAGGTAGTATTAATTATGTAAATAAAAATTGAACAATACACAAATAAGAAAACTACAAAAATGAAATTATGTGTTCAAACGACAACCTAGAAAATATGAACATTTATTACACAATTAAAGAGCAAAAACTAATAGTTTAAATTATTTATTACTACGTTGTCGTGGTCGCATATCCACATTATTAATGAAACACGTGCTTATCGAGCTACTCATCTGCGAATGCCGTCGTCTTGTTGGGTGCATTAATTTGTATCCATGATGTGGCATTTCCATTTCAAGTCCAAAAAAGAGTTTGGTATCATGTAGCAACGAGTACATACGCCGAACCCTGTGCTGAGGGATGCTTTCATTGAATCTATTGAATGTTGAATACTGATTTCAACTCAAGAAATAATGGTGTACAAGGTAGTTTATATATGTAGAAATTCCTACGTCAACTAAGATCTCTAAATATGGTAATTAATTAGAATAACAATTCTTCCATAACTACAATTGTTTTCATAGTTGTCTAAAATCCCCCTTAAGCTGAACACCATGAAACGAGAGAAAGCTTGACAACCAATGCATTGTAACATAGTGAAGAGAGTGCTTTCATCAGCAGATCTGCAAGTTGCTCATTAGAAGGAACATAAGAAATCGTCATTCGTTCTAAGATCACTTGTTCTCGAACAAAGTGGCAATCAGTACCAACATGTTTCATTCGTTTGTGAAAGACTGAATTTTTGGTCAGACACATAGTGGATTGATTGTCGCAAAAGAGATGAGGGGGAGGAAGCTTGATATGTAAAATATCAAATAAATAGGTGAGCCACATGACGTTAGCGACGACAGCTGATAATGCTTGGTATTCGGCCTCGGTGGACGACCGTGACACACGGCTTTGCTTCTCTGTACTCCATGAGATTGGATTTGAGCCAAAATATATCGGGAAACCTATAACAGAATGTTCGTCTGTCATAAACACTAATATTCTTTTCACCTCTATCAATTTTGTCATAAACTCACCTTTTGAGTATATTATACCATCTTAAAGTTTAAAAGTACTCCGTAAGTCTTTTTAAGTATAAAATAATTATGGTTTTGAAAATTAAGTTTTGTAAAATTATTTTATAAACAATTATTTTAAAACAACTCTTTTTATAGTATAAAAATACAACTTTTTAAGCTTCAACATTGCTTCTATGCATCATTCATACAAGGTGAGCAATTATTAAACATAATAGTTTGTGGTTGAAATAGAATAATAATTATAACAACAACAACAACAACAATAATAATAATATTAATTAAGATTTATGTTTGTGTAGCTTTAAATAAAGTAATGTGATTTAATCAAATAATAGTAATTATTATTTAATCATTGAAAACACAAATATTATTTTTTATATTTTTTCCTGATGTGATATCATTGGATTTGATCTGGTCTGATCTGATTGGAATTGGTCTGATCTGATTGTATCTAGTTTGATCTAATGGAATCTGTTCTGATCTTATTAGGTCTGATCTGATTTTAATAAGAAAAAATAATAAGTAGAAAAAATAAATCCTACAGAACGGACCACTAAAGTTATTTTCGATCTAATCTGACTCGATCTAATCAACTAAATTAATTCCAATAAGAATAATTAATAGTTGTAATTAATAAGAATAAACTAAAGAAAAAAATATTCTAAAACATAACAAAGAAAACAAAATGGAACATCCATCTGTTCCTATTTTAATTAGAATTTTACAACTTTGGAGTAAAACCCCATATTTTTTAAATTTTTTTTATTTAAGAACTGATATAGGAATTAAAAAATAAACTTATATATTTAAAAAATACGTCCAAAGTTCTACAAATTTAAAAATGATAAGACTATTTCATTTTATCAATTAATCAATCAAAATAAACAAATAAACAAAAGTTATCGAGATAAGGGAACTATAATCAATTACGATATGAATGAAATATATAGAAATCATCCTAAATAGGACTAAAACATAGAAAAAAGTATCAAATTATGACTTTCATGTTTTTTTTTCCCGGAATAGGACTTTGCACTGTGATAATGTGACTTTGCATTGTGATAATGTGGCGGTGTACATGTGCAAATTACTATACTTTTTAGGTAATGTACATGACCATGTTTGGTAATGTAAGTCTCATTTTGGGAATAAAAACATGGAAGTCGTATTTTGGTATATTTTCAATGTTTTAGTTCTACTTTGGTCTTTCTCCCTGAAATATATAATACCAAAAGTACAGCGTTACATATAATCTTTTTATCCTGAGAATAAAAATATTATAAGTTAATATTTGAAATAAAGATTATATTCTGTTCTTCTTTTTATTTTATTTTATTTTGTGTGTGAATTCTATAAAAAAAAAATTGAGGAAATGCTCCTGTAAATATCAAGATTTGAGTGCGCATAAAGTACACCACAATACGAATCCACAAGAACAGGGGTTTCTTCTTCTCCTCCGGCATTCATTTCATTCATACGCAAGGAACACACCTTCATACTGAAATCTCAGTGGAATTCGAAGAAATTACAGTTGATTAAAGATGCAAAACGGAGGCGATGAGGTTAGCATCGAAGAATTGGCTACGAATCTTTCAACTTACCGAGAACAGCTTCAACAGGTGTGACTGTTCTCCCTCGCCGCTTTAAATTTCATCAATTCTTTGTAGCTTTACTCTGCAGATCTTGTCATCTTTAAACCTATGCCAATTACTCGTTTAATTTGATTGAATTAGTCGGATTATGTGTGTTTGAGTTCTTCAGGTTTTTGTGATTTACTCTATTTTTGGGTAAAATGTAAACAATAGCATTAGAAATCCAAAGTAAGTGGTTTGTACAAAATACCTGGGCATACCCCTACAAATCAATAACCACAAGGCCACAAAACAAGGCCCAACAACAGGGAGAAACCCTCCAAGAAAGGGTAAAGTAAAGAGACTTCAAAGGAAAAAAAAGCTAACGATGATGAGCATTAGACTTCGGACGGTTCCTTGCAACACGCAATAGAGCCTCAAGTCAAGTTTCCTAATGTCAGGCATAGCATTTTCCAAAGCCAAAGGTGCAGCTGGAGAAGTGAAGGGATCAACCTTCTTGTCCTTTGCATTCAGGTTAGGCATCACAAACGGTTGGTTGCCCAAAACAGCCTGTGGTTCAGGGCAGGGTTGCTTGCCCGTGGGCCGTGACAGAATCTGTGTTGGCCTCCGATCCCATAGAAACGTCATTTTATTGCTTTTTTTTGCGATTTACTCCAGTTTATGGTGTATGAAGTTGAGTTTCAAATTTAATTGGATTGTCCAAGAGCTGCCGGATTAACAACAACAACAACCCAGTAGAATCCCACAACAGTAGGGGCTGGGGAGGGTGTGTGTATGCAGACCTAACCCTTACTACAGCTGCCAGATAGATGTAGCAAATTTGAGTTTTATTTGCTAGGGAAAAAAAATACCAGCAACATGGAAGAATATCAAAGGATTGCTTCTAGTTTTTGTACGTACTACTGGTAGAACTTGTCCCAACAGGAGTAATGTTTCTGTATTCCATAATTCTTTTAAAAATTTATTTGTTTCTGTAATATTGGTTGTGCCTTCAGACCTTCAGTATTCCATAATTCTTTTAAAAATTTTTTTCTTTTGTGTGGTTGAATAGAATGGAGGTTATAAAAGAACCATGCATGAGTGCATCACACCCCACTAGTAGGTGTCATAATTTAACATCACTAAAGTTATTATAGGTACAAGGTACCTATTTTTTTATTCTTTTTTATCTTGGTTGTGTTGTGCATTTTATTCTTTTTAAAAGTGGAAATGCCTACTCATTTGCATACATTGCATAACTTCATTCTTTTATTTTCCTAACAGGTTCGTGCACTGTTGAAGGATGACCGTAGCAATTCTGAATATTTGGACATGGAGAAGGAACTTGTCGAGGTGACTTTTGCAGTCATTTTATTATACTTCTCATTGCTCGGACACAATTACTTGTGTCTTTTCATCTCATGATTTGCTCATCTGTCACTTGCTTGAGTTTGTCACATGTTTCCAGTCTTATTTTCTTTTCTGCCTCTACGGTGTCTTTTTTGGATATAATGCCCATTTTCTTATTTCTTATGTTATGATTTATGAATTGTGCATGTCTGTCAAGTTTTTCGAGTTCATCACTTTTTTGCTAGCATGTACTATAAGTTTATCTATATATTATATTATATCCCATACCATGAAGGAACAAAACCTAATGACAGGTAATCATTCATTTATCTCATACTTTTTTCCTGTATACCTCAATTTCCCCCCTCTCACAAAAAAATTATATTGTCGCAAAACTAGCAGTGATGGAATTAAAGAATACCAATGACTGAGGAAACATAGTTTTACCCTTGGGTTTGAAAAGGTGAGATTTTCATTTAGTTAGAGATTCACCCATATGGTAATGAAAAGTGGTGATTTTTTACAATTTTAGACCAGGAGAACCTCAAGGTGTCCATCACTTGTCTCTTCATTCAATTGCAGGTCTGCAATGTCATGATGGCCCGCCTGCATCTGTCTCATCATTTCAAACGTCTTCTGAGAATCTAAGTCTAAAATTTGATAAAATTCACTGATTTACTTCTCAGTAATGCAAAAATTTTCTTGCTTAATTTGTACTCTGCTAAGTTCTTGTGATTGCAGGTTATTGCTTTGACAGAAGAGCTCCTTGCAACTGCAAAACAAAATGAAGATTTTGAACTAGGTACCGGGAGTAGTGCTGATGCATCATATGATTTTGGCCATCCAGGGAGCACTTCGGTAGGTTTCAAAATTGAAAAGATGATTTGCTAGGCTGTGAGATGTATTTAATTGATTTGCATGGGGAAGAGATCACACTTTGATTGGAAGCACCACAAAAATATTTTTTATGATTTTCTTTGCTCTATATCGTTTGTTTTTTTAAATATACTCCCTCCGTCCAAGTTTAATGTTCTCACTTTGACCGGGCATGGAGTTTAATAAAAGTTGAAACTTACTTTGACTTTCCCAAAATACCCCCACTTTACCACTACCCCACACATTCATGTCCTGCGCATTTCCTGACCAAATTACCTCCGCTCAACCATCAGAACCGGCCAGAAAAAAAGTTCCAAAACTATGAAATTTCCGGGCAAAGAGACATTTCTCCCAACCTGAATATTTTAGAATAATCATGTGTATTCTTTCAGTCCAAATCGAGTTGTTCCTGCACCAAGGTGGAATAATAGAAGATGTGAAGAAGATTAAAAAGATTTGAAGAAGAAGATGAAGAAGATCCTTCATCACCGATGTTCTCCTTACAGATCTGAATCGGATTTCTAAGATCCGAATTGTATAGAAGAAAAAAGAAGAGGAGATGAAGATGGAGGGCGGCTGGACTACCAAATCGGAAGAGTGGGGGGAGAGAAGAAAAGAAAGACGAAGAAGAAGACGAAAAAACGAAAGAAAAAATAGGTTGGTAGAACAAATCGTGGGGGGGAGAAAAAGAGAGAGGAAGAAGAGAGAAGAACAAAAGAAATAGCAGAGAAGAATAATCGGAAGGAGAAGAAAAAAAGGAGAGAAGAAGAAGAGAGGAGAGAGAAAAGGAAAAGAAAGAAAGAGAAATGGGGAGTGGGTGCGGCTGTGGCAGGAAGGAGAAAAGATGTAGAGGGCAATTTAGACATTTTGATAAAGAAAAATTACTAAAAAAGGAAATGGGAAAATTATTTATGGACGGACCGAAAAGGAAAGTGGGAACTTTAATTTTGGACAGAGGGAGTATTTCATGAACAAGATTTTTTTTTGCCACCTATTCTGAAATCCAGTTGTTTTCAATTTAGTAGCGATCTATTTCTGAAGTCCATTCCAAAAAAAGGTTTTGGGTTTAACCCACCACGGTATTGAGAAAATGAAAATGTGTGGTTGAGATCTATGCATAGTAGCTAGAAATAGTATGAAGCACACAATACTTTCACCTTATTTTAGCATGGATAAAAAAGAAAAGTTAGGAAACTATAAACCTTTTTTGGGACAAAGGGAGATGTATGTTCTGTTTCAACCTCATTTATCCTAATTCTTATGTTTTGCGTAGGCCAATTATTAGCTTTATAAGAATATTTCATATGTGCTCTTTTAATATCATGTGCAAATCTAAAACATCCACATTAATTGAGGAATCCATGTTTTCATTTTCTCAGAGTATGCAGTTTCCTGTTGGCACCAAAGTACAAGCTGTTTGGAGTGAGGATGGAGAGTGGTATGTTGAATCTCTTTGATTGATTATCTATCTTAATATCAGACTATTCATCTTCCTTCACCACTTGTGTTTTTTTTGTGGTTAATTTAGTTGACTCTTCAGGTACAATGCAACCATTGAGGCGCATACTTCAAATGGCTATCTTGTAGCTTATGATGGGTGGGGAAATAAGGAAGAGGTATGCCTGATTGCCTACGTGATTCTATTTCTAGCGAAATGCTTTTCCACTGTCCCCATAAGTGTTTGGATGGCTAATTTTCAAGGAATAAGTTCTTCTTAGAGAAATAGGAAAAGTAATTTTTTTCATTAAAGAGCGCTTTTGATGCTTATTAAAGAAAGGAACATATTGAGTGTTTTAGAAAAAGAACAATAAGTGCTTAAATGATAAAGCACTTGTACCACAAGTAATCCCGAACAGGTTCTTAAGTTTGCAACGCTACATCCAATAGAATATTGTTTGCCCTTATTTTGGTCCAGCATGTTGTATAGGGTTAGTGCTAACTGCTAAGCGCACAACCTTGACGAGTCATCAACCTATCGGCTATCACATAAGTAGGAAATAGATTAGAAAAGGTCAGGGGTTTCTTACTTCGGGTGGATGAAAAGTTTATGTGTTTGTACGTGCTCTCAAGCCAATGTTGCGCAGTTGTGGCTCCCATTGATAAACTATACAACAGTTCTCTTGTAGCTTCTGAATTCTGATCAATCTTTTAAAAAAACTGAATAAGTTCTTGTTTATTTTCTGAATGATTTATTGAAAATTGCAGGTAGATCCAGAAAATATCAGGCAAATTCAAGGAGAGGTCAATCCTTTGGATGAAGCTGAAAAGATTGCTGAGGCCACAAAACAGGCCCTGAAGCGGAAGATTGCACAGGCTTCCGTCATTGAATACCAGTCTAAGAGTCTACCAGCAAAGCTCCATATTGATCCCAATGACCCGGAAGATGTGGTATGTTGAATTAAAGATTCTCATTTTCTGTTTCAAAAATAAATTTAGTGATATTATATTTGGTGGTGTTCTTTTGACACCGGTGTTAGTGTGACACCGGCAGCACCGCTCCCATTTGAATATCCTACGATGTTCCTTTGGGCCCCAAACTAGGTCTGACCCCCTCCTTCCTAACCCCCCACAAACCTTTAGAGTTATATTTGCATTTCTTAATTAGAGTCTAGGCCTTGTTAATTGTTGTGTCTCAAAAAAATCTTTACATTTGACTTTTCTTGGCCAAACTTTACATTCTTTTATCCTAATTTGTGCAACAACCTTTCGTCGTATTTTGTGGAAAAATCATATCTAATTATAATGTAAATTGAATATCATTGAGTTCATTTTTTCTATGTGGTTTTGATGTATCAAATTTTTATAACATTTAATTTTGTACAAATATACTCCTTAGTCCTTCCGACCCATATGTTTCTTCCTATTTTGCCTTTGTTATGGTAGTTAATTAAAGAGAAATGTTAAAAAAGTGAGTTGTGTAAAAAGGAGTAAGTAGGTTAGGTGGGTAAATGAGCCGGTGGATTAGGATAGGTGGAATAGTAAAGTAGGGTATTAAATGAGGTAGTAAATTAGTAATGGGTATTGAGTTCAGGGTAAAAAAGTCAATATGATGTTATTTATTTGCTAAATAAGGAAAGAGGAAGAAACGTATGGGACGACCCAAACAGGAAAACTAACGGATGGAGTAGTTTTTAGTGAATGGTGATTGAAATGTCGCATTGATGATCTAAGAGTAAATTCCATAAAAGGTCCCTAGTTATAGGTCATTTTACATATTTAGTCCCTACATATCAAATATTACTAATTTAGTCCCCAATAATTATATTCATTTCCACGAATGGTCCTTTGTTAACATTTCCGTTAATAACGTGGATAAAATTGTAAATTCACACTCCTTTCTCTCCTCAATTAAGTTTCCTCCCTCCCCTTGCACTCCTTTCCCAAACTCGTCGCTGAGTTTGAAGCTTTGAACCCAAAATCGAAAGCATCACTCTTCTCTCAGTTGTTTGTCTAACTGGTGGAACCCAAATTCAAAATGAGTAACCTTCATGGATGAGTTTTAATATTTATTTTCTTTGCAATATCTTGAGACTAACTGATAAAACTCATCCACAAAGCTTATTGGTTTTGATTTTAGGTTCCACCAGGAAGACTAATAATTGAGAGAGTAATGATCATTTCAGTTTTGGGTTTAGAGCTTCAAACTCAGCAATGTGTTTGGGAAAGAGTACGAGAGGAGGGAGGAAGCTTAATTGAGGAGAGAGAGGAGTGTGAATTTATAATTTTATCCACATTCTTAACGGAAATGTTAACAAAGGACCATTCGTGGAAATGAATATAATAATTAGGGACCAAATTAGTAATATTTGATATGTAGGGACTAAATATGTAAAACGACCTATAACTGGGGACGTTTTATGGAATTTACTCATGATCTAAAGATCTTTTTGGACAAAGGGAGTTATTAACTCTGCATATTTAACTACATAAATAGTATTAGACTGTTGGCTTGTGATGTGTGTTAATTGGTTATACGTGTGCTGAGTTCGTAACTTATTAATCCGTTGTACCTTGTATTAGGCTCCATTTGGTAGCTATAATCGGCTTTTCAACAGATTGACTAACTTTTTACTTATGGCTGAAATGGATTTTACCCAATGGTTCTCCTAGAGAACTCACGAGATTTGGTCATTTTAGGCTAAAATAACCATTACCCAACAGGTCCATAGTGTTCTATAAGTGTCTATCTAGTGTCAGGCCTCATGTGAACACCTCCTAATTCTCTTATTTCGGCCCCACCTAAATGCATTGTCCGAGTCCACCACCTTGGGTCCCACTGGGCATATTTTAGAACAATGCCCCATATGATGACAATTCACATGCATATGTTTTGCAGAAAGCTTCAAAGAGAAAGAAGATCCATGCTTTCAAGTCAAAAATGCGGATAGAGAAACTTGAGGTAGCCCAAAACAAGAGGCAAAATGCTTGGCAGCAATTTCAGTCGACAAAAGGCTCTACTAAGAAGGTGTTTATTCATATGCAATCAAAAACTAATTGTATCTGCATTGAGACTCAGTCCCAATGTCATATTATGACACCGGTCTATTGTACCCTACGGTGTTCCATTTAGCCCCAAAATGGTTTCCACCCCCACAAACTTCCTAACCATTCGGGAGGGGAGGGGTAGGAACCCCTTCAGGGTACCATAGGGCCCCAGAATTGACCGGTGTCATAATACAACACTGACCCTTGGTGTCAAAAGAACCTGGCCATCGTAGCTGACTACTAAAGTTTCATTTTGAATGTTTTTTTTCCTAAATTTCTTTGTTCTTTCACAATACTTCAGATCGGATTCTTCTCGGGTAGAAAGCGGGAAAGCATCTTCAAGTCTCCCGAGGACCCTACTGGAAAGGTCGGCGTGACTGGAAGTGGGAAAGGTTTGACAGATTTTCAGAAGAGGGAGAAGCATTTGCATCTTAAAGGTACCTCTGCTGAGGCTTCTGATGACTACTAGCCCTTAAAATTTAGCCCCCATTCCTTATGTTGTGCCTTTAAAAAAATACATTTAACTGATACAATTTTTAGGAGCGATATCCAAAATCCATCTTTGTATTTTTAGTTTTTCCTTTCACGAAAATTTGAAATATATGATACTGCAAAGGTGTGGCTCATCTCTTGGCAAATCGACCGTAGTTTCTTCCGTTCTCTAGTTCAATTTGCAATTCGCGATTGATTCGTTTATGTTCAATTTGAAATTTGGAAACAACAATGAAAGAAAATTTCAAACATGATAAAATCAATTTAAGATATTCCGTCCATCTTGAAAAACGACTTTAATGGAGTTTTAAGAAGAGAAATTTACCTAAATAGGACTAAAACATAATAACTTTTCCAATATAAGATCATATGTTTTTATTTCCCAATCTATGACCTTTGGTCATTATGAATTAGTCATTATTCAAGTAAATGTCTATTATTACTGTATGTTATTCTTTCCACTAGACATTATTAAATCCTATTTAGAAAATAAAAAAGTTTAAGTCCTACACTAGGAAATGACTTATGTTTTAATCCTATTAAATGCAAATTTCACTTTTTTTTAAGAATTGCGTGACTAAAGTTCATTTAAATGAAGAAACCACATGTTTATTGCTCCGTATTTAAAAAAGAAATGAAGTAGAAACTGTTGGAAATAAAGTAAAAATTGTCTGAGATGTCCAAAAAGAATGGTTGAAGTTTTTTTAGGGGGGAACATTTGTTTATTTATTTCACCTTTTATTTATTTAACGAGTACATCGGCAAAATGAAACATTAACGAGTACCTAGGTTACATAACAAGTTGCTTTTACAAAGAGCTTTCACAACTCATTTCGTTAAATATAGTTACGAAAGAGTTATGGAATGACACAAAACGTGTTCTACTGCCAAGTCACTTTAACCAAATTTAGTTTTAATGTTTCTAAAATTGATTTGAATCATTAAGAGTTTGTTTGAAATAATAATTCTAATCACGAACATTGTATTGAAGTCAATCACTCTTCACTCTCATTTAAAAATTCAGTCAATTGTTTGCAAAGGATAACCTTAAATTCTTCTTGCAACTTGGAAAGCTAGAACCAAATGAAGTGCTAGCAAAAGTAAACCGAACCTGGATCGACATGATTAAAATTGTGAAACGAATTCAATAACCCTATACAAAATTGGGATAGGATCAGACCGATAAGGTAGAATTTGAGAACATTTCATTTTAATTTCTTAAATTTTAATACCAAAATTTGAATTCCAAATTTAAGATATGGTTCTATTTTACTCGTAATTGAGGTTTGTTATGAATTGAAAGAATTTGACTCAAATCTAAAATTTTAAGATTCTTAAACGCAGAATTGACCATATCCAAATTTGAAAAATCCAAATTCAAATGAACAAGTCTATATTTCACACTAATTTTGATCAACTAAACCAAATAATGCACAAGCCTACTTTGTTTGAAAACGAACACCACAATCTGTAAGAGGCACTGAGTCTCAACGTATGGCATCCTATATTAATATGGAGTACTTCACTTTGCCCTATAAAAAAAGCTTTTTTTCATCTGACTCTCTCAGAGTTTCAAAGTGTTGAAAAATAAAGTGTGACTAATTTATTTAGATGAGAAAACGAGAAAAATCTTGTAAGCCACATGTTCGTTACCAAAAAAACAAAAAATTAAAGTAAAGACTGTTTGGATGTTTAGAATGGGAAATCAGGCAACTTTTTTTTGGATGAAGAAAGTATATAAAAATCTAAACTGTTATTACTCCAAACCAAAACCACATTACAATGTTGTCTTTTAATTTTTGAACTTTACAAAGCTAGACCGGCCATATAACTAAGGTGCCCGCGCGCAAAACCGGTGAAACACATTCACTATATAAAACAGAACAAAAAAACTGTGCGAACACCTTAGTTATCTTCACATCAAAAAAACACAAAAATCATAAAACAAACAAAAACAAAAGCTGTATGCATGAGCAAATCTCAGGTAGACGAGACAAGACGAGACTTACAGTTGTCATTTGTCATCACTGTATTATCGTTATTGCGAAGTACTATACAAAGTTGTTGGGCTCATAGGATCTGATGACATTGGAACCTTTCAAAAACCCGATGCCGCCTATGGCTTATCACACTTCCATGCTTAGTGCTGCTTTCTTTTGTCTGGTTAAAAACTACAAAGGATAAATGGGAGATTAGAATATACTCCATCCTTTCCAAATCACTTTACCTAGTTTATATTTCATGAAGTTTAAAAAGGTATTGAAAAGTGAAAACCACATGGGTGGAATTCGTCGAGAAAAAAATATCGTAAGTCATATGTTCATTACAAAAAAAATGATAAATCTGGGATGGAGGCAGTAAATTATTAATTCATACTTAGTAGTAATACAAATATCAAGGTCCCAAATTACTAAATTAGCAGCAAACATATCCAGAAATCATCTCTTCCCATGACACTATTTGTCAACTCTTTTTTTGCAAGAATTTAGAGATGATAACTAATACTCCCTCCGTGCCATGAAGTGGAATCTGGTTTTTTACATTAATTTATATATGCCCCACAAAAAGCTTCAAATATGATAACTTCAATCATATTCAATGTTTTTACTATAAAAAAAAAGTGCTCCAAATTAGTTGAGTATGATATTCAGTTAAACAAACAAGTTTTAAACTATAGCTATCTTTGATGATTCCAATAAGTGAACCTTACTTCAACAACAACAACAAGCTAGAAGGATCCTACATCATCATGGTCCAGAGAATATGTTCTGATGACAATGAAAGTTTCACATCTTACCCAAAATCAGGACATCAATGAAGTTCAATTCAAGATAAAGTTCGTTTGTTGAAGGACTCTATAGTCAAGTTTGCTGTGAAAGCCGGAATTGAGTTCATTTTACGAACAAATATTTCAACCTGCAAAAGCAGAGAAAACTATAAATATACTGTCTTACACTGTAGTAATCAACAAACTAAAATAAGCTTTTCTATATCTCTACCAACGTTCAAGCTTCTCTATAAGCATTTTATTATTTCAATATGTGATAAACGGGCAGGGCACAAAAAACAAAGAAAAGGATGATATTGGAGACAAAAACTGGTTGTTAATTAGTATTATAGATTTTAAAATGCTATGCAAGTGCATTTTACTTGAATATTTGATATAGCCAGCTATATCCACGACAGAAAATAGACTAGATGATTAAAACTAGAAGAGTGAGGTGGAATCGTCAAACCTGACGAGATATATCCGTCTGTGAGGTGTACTGATTAGCCTAATATGACAAAGAAGAGAAGATGAAAAGAGTGAATTAAGTTACTGTATCAAAATAACATCACAATGAAGTTAAGCATGAACTCTATGCTGAACCAACAAGTAACAACAAACCCAAGATAATCCCAGATATGTTTGGATCTGAGTGAAGGGGTCAAGATGTGCACAACCATAAACTCTATGCCCAATGATATAAAAATTGTGTTGCACTCGTTGGAGCATAAGGTCTCTTTAGAAACAACCTCTCTATTATCGAGTAGGGGTAAGGTTTGCATACACAATCTCTCCCCAGACCCTACTTGTGTAGGATTCAACTGGGTTGTTGTTCATTGTAGCATAACACAATGGGTGGAACCAAAGTGAAATAGCAACTTTGACAACATAATTCAGTATTCCAATGTATATAGTGTGCCTAACTTGCCCAAACACCTGTGAATAAATATAAAAAACAAATAAGAAAGAATAATAGATTCAGTAAGTCCAATTTACCAAAATGTTTGTGTTCCCAGATTCATATTCAAATTCAAGTTTTTCATCATCACATAGAGCATAGATAGATTGAAGTGTAAAGCGTGTCACAGGAATTCCATCTGCACGCTGATGATCATCCATCACAATCTGAAAAAAATATTGATTGTCAACATGATTAACAGAGGATTTAACTAACTCGGTAGTTCAGTACATTATAACTGCATAAAGATATGTTCAGAGGGTGAATTTAAAAAAAAAACATGTGAAGTGAAATAAATAAAATTCTCGTAATCTAAGTGAAGGGTGTGCAAACACACCCTCCCCAAACTCTACTTTTAGTGGGATTTTACTGGGTTTGTTGTTAAAGTGAGGGCATGGAATCTCCAACCTCTCAGTAAGCCCATCAATGATAGTGAAAATTCAATTGCAAGGAAAATGCATGGATGTTGTCAATGCTGCCTCATGAGGATTTCTTTAGAGGCGAAATAGACTCATTTTAACATGGTAACATAGTGTGATTTAATAGTGTTTTTTATGGTGCTTCACCTGCCTACTCTACGGTTCAAGGCAGCTTAGTTGGAGCCTGGAGGTCGATTTGGGGCAATTATCTACCTCTTAAATTTTCTAGTCCGGATAGGGCTGATCAGCTGATGGATGTTTACTGAGTATCCTATATTGGCTGGCACTTGGGTTTGAGTGTGAGGTAAACATCACTTTTTGAGAATCCTTTGGGAGTGGTTGATAAACGGACATGCTATAGTCTTAACTCTTAACTTAGAAATAATCAATTTACCTTGTACCCAAAAAGTTCACAGCAGGCCCTTCTGAAGACTGAAATTCTATCAGCAAAAACTGTCTTGTATCTTCATTGAAGAATAGTCAGTCAGACATAAAAATCATGACAAGATGCAATTAAAAGAAAATCAAATATTAAAAGAATTTCATTTGCTCATTCACCTCTCTTCACGCTTCTCCAGTGTTGCGATTTGCTCTTTGAGCTGTAGAATCTTTCCAGGAATATAAGAGTCAACTAGCGTTCCAGCATCAGCTGGATAATCTAAACAATATGTGCAATTGGAGAAAGAGTGAGACAAGACCATCAACAAGGCCGGAGTTCAGTCTTGAGTCTTCACACAACAAACATGTCAATTACACTTACTCGACTAAAAACCAAATCCCGAAACAGAGTTTCAAGGGTACTCAAATCATATTGACAACATTCAGAGATATACAGAACATGATGCATCGCATTAAGAATCCATTTATCTTGACGGTGAGTTTGGAGCTGTGAGGGGAAAAGGCTAGTTGTATTAGAGAGTTTAGTAGCCAGAGCTATGAGACAAAATAAAAATGTACATTTGACGTGTTTGATAAACTGACTCTTCAAGTATCATTCAAGAAATTTTGAACAGTATGTACCGAAATTAATTTCTTTAAAAAGTTAGCAAAACTAATACTCTAAATATAAACAGAATATAAAATTTAAAATAAAAAAAATTCACATCAAAAGAAAAAATCTCCCCAACACCTCAACGGTCTACATAAGGCACCAAACTGTGGTGTGTAAAAATTTCATATACAAATATTCAACGCAGGGCCCTAAGGAAATCAAATCCAAGACTCTTACTAGTAAAAAAAGTAATTTGGAAATGAAAAAGTGACTATGCTCCAACATTGTTTCAACATAATTCATTTTTGACAACCAATGATGTAATGTTCACAAGGAATATGAGAATCCATGTGCACAATATAAAAGCCTAATAGCAAAGATCACTTGAAGTGTACAAAAACAGTTGTGGATCATTAGAAAACCACATAACTTTGGAACTAAACATTAACATACCAGACTGCTTCAACTCTTCAAGAGCCTGCAACTTCTCCTTGGTCTTCTGCAGCTCACTCTGCAGAACCTCTATAGTTTGTTTTGCTTCATTATCTACTCCAAGGGTGTTAACCATTCGAAGAACTTTTGTATTTGCTGATGAATAATCACCATGCCCTAGCTAAAAAATTAAAAAAACTATTACAAGAAAACATAAAGATATAGGTAAGCTAATTACTCCACAAAATAAACCTTGGATTCTAATAGAGCAATCTCAGATCTTAGCCGGTCACCCTCTCTTTCTAATGACTTTATTCTCCTTGCTTCATTGCTCAGCATGTCATTCAGCAACATTAGTTCATTAAGCTTACGAGTATTGATCTCCCTTTGTTCAGATAAACTGCTCTCGAGTTCCTTTATACAGCTGTCTTTCTTAGCAAGAGATGATTCAAGCTCCTGTATTTTGACACAACGGCAACTACGATCAAATTGAGATTATATGAGAAATATATAAAACAGAAATGAGTCCAGTTCTTTGGACCTGAATGAGAGTTGCATGGGAGGCCTCAATGCCAGTGCCCACGCTCTTTTGTGTCCTTAGCTCATCTACAATATGCTTTAACCGATCTCTTTCTTCTAAAACAGATGCAAGCTGGAACAAAAATTGAGAGCAAAGGAACAAGAAAACAATTGACAAAATACAGCTTCAGTGAATATTAAGAATCTAAAGAGACTTGATCATCACACTAACATGAAAAAGTATCCAATATATGAAGTGGTTAATGAGATCAAAAACTCAAACTTTAGCAGATATATCCTTTGCAAAAGAAAAGGCCCACGTCAAGCTAGAGGAATGACCTTGAAACACATAGTACCAAACAAAGGCATCAAAGCTGAATTCAGCAAAGAACCAACAAAACACTTCTCCGTGAGCACGTGGCACTTGCACATGTTTTGCAGGCAATTAAATATTATTTGATCTTTAATTTTGACCACAAAACCAGCTTGAGAGACTCTCGTGGGATTCAACTAGGTTGTTGTTGTTGTTGAGAACCAGCTTGAGAGAGTATATGACAAGTTTGGAAACTTGATTACACAACACTTTAAACTAGCTCTGGTACATGTATGTTGCTTTTCTATCCAAGCATCTGCTTTAGCCAAATAATTTTGAATCCCATTTGCATTGACATTCTCTGCTTAATACCCACCTATGACCTACCCCACCCCCAACATGCAAAATAATGATTATTTGGTGGCCCTCTTTGGATTCGAATTTGCTTAGAGAGCAAACCATATTAATTTTTCTGAGATTATTCAAACTCATTAAGATAGCATCAGTAGAAGCATGTGCAACAAGAAAGATTACACACAACAGACGAGACACAAAAAAGCAAAATGTCGAAGAAATAATACATGGCAAGAATAATGGATCAAATAAATTTCTCACGCATACAATACCTATTTAGGATCAAATTAAGTTTAGGCATACCATCAATTCAGTCCTCTTCAGCTCTGACATCAATAATTCAGCATTTTCCTTTGCCACGTTGATATCAGTTTCTGATTTGTTGTTTTCAAGCTTTGCAGTGTCCAAAGCCACCTCCATTTGTTTCAAACTTGCCTGAGCTTCACCCATTTTTATCATGTTATCAAGAACCTCCCTGCACACCACACAAGGATGAATAATAGCAGAAATGCACAGAAACTTGGCTCATAATGTTACCAATTACCATTCATCCAAGTTGATTCATATACTCCCTCTGTCCCAAATTAAAACTCCTTATTTTCTTTTTGGGCTGTTCCAAATTAATCTTCCTCTTTCCTTTTTTGAAAGCTTTTTGTGACTCACTTATTTTTCTCTCTCCTCTACATCACTTTTAACCACACAATTTCACTTTTCCTAAACTCTGTGCAAAGTCAAACTAGGAGGATTAATTTGGGACAGAGGGAGTAATAAAATATTTAGACTTAAGAAGAATGAAGGGAGAAATAGCGGTCATTTACCTGATTCCACTAAGATTGGGAATTAATAATTAATGCCTAAATTTGTCTACTAGAGAAATTAAAATTTCTATTTTTTGATCCCATGTGTATATTGTGATATCTCCTCAGTCCCCACATCCTCCCTCCCAAAGAACAACAGCATTTTACCATCAGAACAACACCCATCAGAAATTTAATTCCTCAATTTCTTTATGTTCAAGAACAAGAAACTCCTAGTGTAGTGCAAGGTGTCAAACAAGTAGTGGACTAACATGGACAATATTTTTCTAAACAGAAATTTTCCACGATAGTAACTAACCACTGTAAACAAACCCAAAAAAATGATCATTGAGCTACCGGCATACTTTTGTAATGAGGCAAATTTACGAGGTATATCATCAGCACATGATATTCCAGGGATATCTAGTACTACTGATTTCCAAGTAGACAGTTCATCCTCCAGCTTCTTAATAGTCACCTCAAGATCTGCTAATTTAACTAACTCAGACTCTGCCCTATCCCTCCGACCTTTTTCTTCAAGTAATTTTTCCTTCAGCAGCTCAATGTTCTCATGAGAAGATTTTAGCTTCCTTGCTTCACGCACTTCAGCCTCCTGAGAATAGGATGGAAACAAATCGCATGGCATAAGTGCGCGTGCCTTCTTGGAAATTCTCAAAATGAATAGTATATGCAGCAACACCAAAAGTGGTTTTGGAGTGGTCATTGTAGCAACCAACATATTTTACAAAGAATTTATTGACTTAGTTCTAAACTTACATAGTGCCTTAGTTCTTCTTGCAAATGCTTGACCAAGATGCTGTCATCTGTTGAAGAACTTTCACGAAATGTGAAACTAGACAACTTTTCCAGTTCCGTTCTTTGTTCCATGCACTGGTAAAGCAACAATATTCAGTCACGCTAATATAAATTTAAAAATGCCAGAGTAGTCAGACAAGAACAACTGAAACAGCAGGTTCAATAGCAATAGAATACAAAAACAGCAATTCCAACTTCATTGGTGTTTGTGGGGTCAAAATGTATGCAACATCGCAACCCTTGATTGGAAGCTAAAAAATGTATCTGAAATAGGTGCATATAAGATGCAAGGAAAAACATAAACAAAAACAAACTCATATGTAGTGATGATTTGAGAAACTTTAGACAGATGCTAGAGCTCGATTTGTAGTCATCATCCTTCAATCCCCGGTACAAAACCAGGATGAGACCAGCACCTCTAAGTAATCATTAGTTTAAAATCTGATAGAGCTTTGGTAGCTTATCCTAGATTTGAGCAAAAATTTATGACAGCAAAACGTGGAGGTAATGAAAATGATTGCTAAAATGACTTCGAAAGGTTACCTCATTCAGTCGCACTCGAACATCTTGCAGTTGTTCCTTTAGTAATGCTGATTCCTTCTCAGCATTGACAGCTCTGCACTCCATTCTTTCAAGCTGAAAGAAAATGATACCGTAAGTTAGATAACAATCCAGAGAAGTATTCTAATTACTTTTTCTACCAATTGCAGTGTTCTAACATTTTTTTTAATGCTAGAGACAGAAAATGAGGATTCCGTTTTTAGCTGTTCAAGTTCATTATGCAGACGCCTTTTCTCTCTTTCCATGCTTTCAGAGAGATTGCTTTGTTTCTTCTCATAGAGACTTGCTTTTTCTTCTGCAGAAGCAGCTGCAGACTCTGCTTTTGCACGAAGATTATTTTCGTGTTGGAACTTCACCTATCCACCAAGAAAGATTACAGAAACATTATGCATGGGCAAATAAAAATACACAAGCAAGATTCTGGCACAGAAGAGTCAATCAATACAGAAAATCGTCACTATTTTGTAAATTGAGAATAAGATTCTAACTTTTCCCCCATGATTTATTAAAATCAACTGCACAACCAAACCATATAAAGGAACTCAAACTCAATTGGAGATGTACAAGTCTAGGTAGGTGAGTGTCCAAGTCAAGTATCATTTTATATATTCATGGACAAAGCTGTGTTGAGTTGATATATACATCATCATTTTGTTTAAAAAAATATTGCTTTACCTCAAGTTCACTGTATAGCTGCAGTTGCTTTGTAAGCCGTTCCTGAGAACAATCAATCTCCTTCAAGAGCTGCTCTTGCAGAGATTCTTCGCGTCCTTTAGCAGCAGCTAGCTCTTGTTCAGCATAGAGGAATTGATCACGATATTTCTTCCTTTCAGCATCTATATTTGAGTTCATGTCAATGCATGTGTTTAAGATCATATTTCCAAAAGTGATATAGAATTCAATGATATTGGATATAGAAAATTAACTTTTTTATGAAGTTAAGATTGTGCATAAAGTAGAATACAACTAAACAAATCAGGAGTGGTTGAAATGGCTAGGTAAATCGCATAGATTGGCATTTGTAATTTCTATAACAGACTATATCACTCAAGAAGCTCCATGACCTCCCTGCCTATTAAGCTTGGAAAAGCTCATTGTAACATGTTTTCTCATTTACACAACGGCAATGCAAATATAAGTTCCATTACACTATTTCAATGTCAGTATGATGTTTTAACTAAAGTGAGAGCTAACTCTGCACTGATTCACTGATAATGAGATATAGTTTAAGGTTCAATAGGTTTGGGACTTGGCAGTGGATTTGGTGACTTTGTATTGGAAACATTGAAATCAAGGCATAGAAGTCACAAAATAACCTTTGAAAGGTCGTAAAGAAAATTTAGTTTTCAACTCTTCATCATTAGCACCACCTTAAATATGACAATTGGGCTCAAGTAATCAGTCAATGGCATGAAACATAAATCCATATAAGAAGCAAAGAAGCAAGAATTTTACAAATCTAAACATTTAGGACATGTACTATTGGACAATTATTGGCCAGGCAAAAATAGATTACGGAGTTGGGATGAACTTTTGGTTGGATTGAGTTCAAGTTTATGACATCTGTAAAAGACTGCTCTGATAATTAAATTCATTGTACCAATACATATGCCTCTATCACTGGTTAGCTTAAATATATAATCAAATTACCTCGCACAATTTGCTATGCCTTTGACAACTCAAATCATAGTCTAAAAAATATTAGCAATTAAAAATTGAATATCAAGTTTACTTGAGCAATAGATATCGATTTAAGTCTTCACCTACCCGCTTTCTGCAATTCATCATTTAAAGCTTTGAATTTGGAATTAAAATCCTGCGCTTGCTTCTCTGCAGTGCTCAAGGCATCAAAAAACTCTGACTTTACCTAATGGAATAAAATCAAAGTGGCACGTAACCAAATCAGCGAGGAGGAGGTAAGTGCAGTGAACCAAATAAGCATGTACTTTTCAATATCGAATTAATATAGCTCACAGTGTTACTAAAACAAATTAAAAAGCAACATATGCAGAAGCAAGCAACTAAACACGGAAATCAAATTAGAGTAACGAGAGGGGAAAAAAGTACCATTTGACGACATTGATAAGTGCAGAGCATCTGATCGGAGGAGAAATGATGATCCTGAGAAGATTCCAGCGCGGAAGGCTCGTCCTCGTAGATCACCAGCTGCTGACGATCCGAAACGGGGCTACCGGCCTCGGCCGGCTTCGCCTCCGACTCTGCCTTCCTCTTCCGCACCGGCGGTGTTCTGAGAATCATTCTCCTGCTCGCGATGCGCAGAAACCCTAAGGCTCAACAATCAGTCAGTCGAATTGGTCTAGCTCGGAGCTCCGCTCGTGGAGCAGAAGCCTGAAATGCAGCTGTGTGTTATCTATGGTATCTCTATTCGGAGTACTCAGTATAAGAATCTATGGAGGAGAAGTCTCGGGCAATTTCTCCCGCCCAAACCGCTGGTCCGTCACCGCCGTCATCGGGAGTTTGTGGGAATTGGATCGGCTTGAATGTCTCTAAATTGAAAAAATGGTAGGGTACACCAAACCAAAGGTGTACCATATGTCCCTCACCCCTTGTCCACTAAAAAAGGCATAAAAATTTAAAAAAATATGTAAATAAAAATCAAATAAAAATGTGTGATGGAGAAGGGGGTGTTGTACATTTGAGGTACACCTTTAGGTGTACCTAGCATTACTCCTCCAAATTTCGCCCAATGTACTTCGGATTTAGACTTAAAATTATCCAAAATAATTATTCACTCTGTATTTAAAAGATTATCATAGTTTAATTTTTTATCAAATTGTGGCACTCTTTCACCATAAAGAGTGAATGTAATGAAATTTGCAACTAATGGATGGTTTGAGACGAGAATTAGGCTTTGGGTTCCTTTAAAAAAAATTTAAAAAAAATCGGATATCTGAATATTCAAAAAAATAAGATATGAATTCATATTTGATCTGATTTTTTTCAGATATCCGGTTTGAAATATCTAAAAGCTAAAATATCAGATCAGATATTCATTTTTTGAATTGGGTTAACACGGATTGTGGATGCATATTTTGGATCGAATATTTTTGAACGAAGATAGAAAAGAAGAAAACCAAATAACATAGAAGAAAGCAAGGAAGCAAGAGGCGGAAAACAACTTACGAAAAAAAGTCAAAATCCTAAAAACAAGGCTTATTTTCCATTTGACTGAGGCGGATTTTCCTTTGAAATGGAGAAACTGGACTTCCGGAGTCATTTTCCGCCTTTCTAAACGGATCCTTAGTCCCACAAGTTTATATTTTTGTGCACTACCTCAAAATAAAAATGACAGTTCAATATTTAAAATTTAATACCCCGTAGTAATTTTTTTTATTTATACTATGTATTTTTTATTAGTTATTTAATAAAATAAAAAATTCTTTTCATCTCTTGTTTTGTAGAAATTTTAACGTATTTTTTCAATATGTAAGTTTTATTTCTTATTTTTATATCAATTTTTAAATAAAATGAATTGAAAAAATATTAAATTTGACTTCATTTTATATGATTTAATGTTTTTTATAGAGGGAGAATAAACTTGTTGGACACTATGACCGTGTTCTTTTGTGTTAGAAAAATAAGCTTCTAATACTTTTCGATCAACTTCTTCAAGTTTCTTCTAACAAAAAAAAGATATTTATATGTGATTAATATATAATAGTATTGTGTATCCAAATTTATAACATATCACTTCAAAAATGGATAATGATGAATTATTTTCTTATCCAACATTAGATTTTTCTTACATATTTATTTGAGTAGTCATTTTAAATAAATGACTTTAAAAATTTTTAATTCTTCCAACATTTTTTAATTACTTCAAGTTCTTTCCAACTCCTAGTTTTTTCTAATTTCTTCTATTTTTTTCAACATCCAACTCTGAAATTAAAACAAGAAGAACATATCTAAGTATAAATATCTTTTTTATTTATTATAGTGCTAAAATTTATTATATTTGTATATATTTTCATAATATACATTTAAACAAATTAGTTAGGATAGCTTACATTCTGCCTGGTATAAAATAATCCAAAGTACGAGTTAGCTTATTTATAAACATTGAATAACTAAATTAATGGTGTAGATTAATTCTGAAAGCGCTAATGTTAAAGGCTATTATTGGATAGTCTTTTCAAAATGCTAACGTTACTCTCTAATGTTGATGTCAAATGGGGTCTAACTAGTTCGTCTAATTTTCATTTTTATATAACGTATGTTAAGGAACCAACTCAACCAATCAAAAGCTGAGCTTGTGGTTATGACCTAGAAATAGTTTTTACATATTCTAACACGCCCTTTACGTGTAGGCATGACTTTTTTGGGACTTTCACGTAAAACCTTAATTTTTTAAATTGGTAGGCGGTGATTTTCGAACTCGTGACTCTTGGTCAGTCGAGAAATCAACTCAACTCATTCTAGGCAAAATCTTTCATAGTTCCTAGGTCCATATTTATTATATGAACTTTGATATATAAAAAGGCTAAATTAAACATATTGGGCTTTATAAAATGAAAAGGATTCAATTATGAGCTCATAAAGAACATGTATAGACCTATGACTACAATAGCACAACTCCACATTCTATAAAGATTATTTTGTGATTTAACATGAGCGCACAACTATTGTCAAAGGCTTATTCAATATTCCAGATCTAGCCATCATGAATAGTTATATCGATCCAACTAATTTACGCCATCAGTCTCATGAGAGCGAGATTGTGTCAATGTACTTAATTTGGACGTAAAATCTCCTACCCGTCTAAATACTCGTAAACCCTATTTGACATAAGTGGTAAATGTTAGCATATTGAAAAAGCTATCTCACAATTGCCTTTGTCGTTAGAATTTTCATAATTAATCTACATCATTAAATCTTTTCCAAAACCCTAGCTCTAATAAAAAAACGTTGTTCCCAAACAAGGCCTTATTCTCTGTCAATGTAAAAACCCGAATTCCAATTTCACTCGGGTAATAAAAAAATGTGTGTGGTGCTTTGTATTTTCTCTGTTCCTCTTACCATGTAATTTCTTTATTCACTACTTACTGATCACTTCATATTACACGACCTTCACAGTCATAATTCATAATTTATTGAGCACCAATTAAATTAAATTAAATAACTTTAGTCAAATACTGGGGTATCATATAAAAGATAATACGGAGTATATAAAAGACGTTTTTAATACTTCATATGTTTAAAAATTGTAAGACATGAGTAGCACTTTGGTAACAAGGGGAGTTTCGATCATTTGCCACAATAAAGTAAATACCAATTCACACAACCTTAAAAAAATCAGACACACCACTTTTGAACCACATGGTCCGAACAAAAAAAAAAGCCTCTGTCAAATTAAAATTACATCACACTGCATGAGATGAGAGTATCACTTCTCATCACTTTTCCTTTTTATCCACTCTATATATACTTTTCCACTCTTCATTCGATTTCACTGTCGGGTCATTAATACTCCGGAGTAACGAATAATGCATGACCCTCATTGTGAATGACTCATAACCAATTCAGGACCTTAAATTTAGACCTGTGCAAACAAGGGTCGGCCCGTCCGGCCCGCCCAGCCCGTCCTTTAAAATGGGCGGATATGGACAATCTTTAATACCCACATGGGCGGGCCGGCCCAAGCCCGAATTGTATTTGGGCGGATCTAGAAGTTACTTTTAGCCCATCCGGGCCAATAGGCCCGCCCATATTTATTAAATACATTTATTTTATTATTAATTACCTAGACAATATAAATTTTAAAATTTTCTTTAATTCATGTATAATAGTTCATATCACTCACCCCTCTTAAACAAAAATCAATAGTCTTTTAATGAATCTGTATGATGGGTTTATTAATTATGTAACAATATTTCTATTATGTTTTCTATGTAAATGTGGCGAGGGGTAATTATTTCAAACATTTGAAAACGAGTTTAATGTTTTCTTTTTGATTTTTTTTGTGTAAAAACGATTTTCTTTATGTTTTATCCGGGCCGGGCGGCCCGGTGGGTAGTTCGGCCCGCTAAGGTGGGCGGGTATGGGTAAAGTGTTTAGCCCATCAAATCCGGGCCGGGCCGGGCCAAGCCCATGCAAATGGGCTAATAATTTGTATCAAGCCTGGCCCAGTTCCGGCCCGGATCCTTATTTGCACAGGTCTACTTAAATTGTAGTGAACATTTGGGGTACACATTTGGTGTACCCTAAGCATCCCTCTTTAATTTATGATAAAAGTTTGATGTACCAATCATAGCGTAGCGTGAAACACGCCGGCCGTGTGCATTTGTGCGGCCGACCCATCACACAAGCTCATGAAAGTTTCATCGTAAAATCAATTAGCGATGAAAGGATAGACCATTAGACTTATATGTTAGATTTCTATTTGTTTCTTTTCCGACATGGGAGAAATCTCCCAACAGTTGATCAAGAGATTGAAAAATAGGAACTATCAATTTTTTATACAAAATATTTCTCCATTTGTCCCATAATAGATTACAAACTTTTTTTCTCTCCTCTCGATAACTTTTTTTTATTTGCGTGTTTTCATTGAATATTTGATACGGAGTAAAATAAAATGTTTTCTTATCACATCTCTTTTTACAGAACTTTTGACATAGTTTTTTAATACGGAATATATAATTTTTTTATTCTTATAGATATAACAATTTGTAAAAAAAATTTATTTTAAAAAATAAAAAAAAATTCATGTAATTCTCAATTCGTAATCAAATTAAGGACGAGGAATATTTAGAGACCTGTGTATATTATGGCACCCATAATGGGTGTAAATAAAACTCTTCTTTCATAAAGCAAGGCAGAATAGTACGAGCAATATAAATGAGGGGGGTAAAATGGGAACAGTGAATAATGTGGTGAGACAGAGTAGAACTGTAGAAGGGGGAGACAAAATCTGTGGGACGCAATGTGCAAAATAAAGAAAAGGGTGAAGTGATAGGCGTACAAATAAGGGGAAGCATAGCAAGAAAGAAAGCAAGGGGCTGAGCAATGAAAGGGATTCACATGGCATCCTACCCCACACTCCCATTTCCATTTGTGTAAATACTTAGGATTATGAAAAAAATTCAATCCTTTTACAGCGACACTTAAGGTCCGTTTGGTACACAGAATTCAAGTAATGAAATAAGAATTGAGGATTGCAATTCCTATTTCAATGTTTGGTCGCACAAAGATATGTAAATTTAGAATTAGTAGTGCAAAAAAATGAATTTATTTTGAATAATTCAGTTCCATACAATTCAATTCCATAGAAATTTATTCCCAATTTCGTTAATTTCGTGTACCAAACGGACCCTTACTCCTTATTTGGATTAGGTGAGAAAATCTCGCAATTATTCTTAGAACTTTGTTATAGGTGAACCTCCTTTTTGGAACCGTAGTTTCTCACTGGCAACACACGCACATATAACAACTGTTTGTACAAATTAAAGTAGAAATTGTCAATGTGTGTCTATGAGAAATTAGTGATAAAACTTAAGAGATTATAGGGTTGGAGTTATGAAATTTGATGTTCGTTGGAAGAAACTGAAAGAAGTTCAAAAAAAGTCGATAAAATTGATTCATGCCATATGGGCATATGGCCTGAGAATGGTGGCTCATTGTGAAGGTCTTAAAGGCTCAAAATGTCCGTCATTTACGCTTAATATAGGGACTCACATGTAATTATAGTTTTAGGGTATTCACTAATGCATTTGATGATTTAACATATATCAACACAAGGTATGCTGTACCACCATTAGTCCCCAACAGTTCTTCCAGTTACTCAGGCCTAATTCACCATTAATTATTTAATTGTTGAGTATTATTGAGTCTATTCACTAAACATATTTGAGTGAGTTCCAATTTACCCATTATATTTTAGTTTATTTTTAGTTTGTTAGTTTTTCATTTAGTTTCTTTTTTTAATAAAGATTTAATGAATGTTCAATTTAATGATTCTTATTTAAAAAATGGCAAAAAATTACCATGGGGTACCATTGATTTTATAGTAATAACTCCCAAATTCTACGTTATTAGAAAAAGGGCATCTTTGATTTTATTGTAAGAACTCTGATGTTCTATATTATTTGAAATATATTTCAAGGGTCTTTTAAATTATTAGTAATGTACTCTTATGATAGATTTTGTCTATTTGACTATTATAATAAATAGTTTCAATATTTTGAAAAATACTAAATTTTACTTTGATAATCATTATTTTATTAAATTTAAATAAAAACATTCAGTTTGTCAAAGTAAAAGAACTTTCAATCTTAACACCTGAAATAGACGAGATGAATCCTCGATATATAATAATATCACAAATTTTAAGGATCTCGGAGTATATTTCTGTTAATGTAGGAGTTGAAAGTTTTACTAGAGTATCGAAGGTACCTCGAGATATATTTTAAATAATGTGAGACCTTTGAGTTATAACTAGAAAATCAAGAATAATATAAAAAATACTTGTATGGATACTACACATTTTTAATGCTCCATCTGCCCAAGATTCTGATTTGTTTGCCTCTTTCTACCAAATAAACAAACAAAAAAATCAATTTTTTTAATGTCTGAGCCAATGAGGGGTTGCAAGAGTTGAACTATAGGTAAGAAGTGAATGGAGCATATTGACAATGGACCCAAACAACCAAAAAAGGAAAAAGAAAAAGAAAAAAGAAAGAGAAAAATATGAAAAGTACTGTACAAAATACTGTAATAAAGAGAAACAATGGTACTGCATAAGTGTGCAGCTGTATATTTAATTGAAGAAAAATGAGTAAGAAAATGGCTGAATATATATAGAACCCACAATTTTAGAGCAAGGACCATTGAAAATACTGTCGGCTTCCACCAGGCAAAGACCATTACCTGTCCCTCTCTCATCCATCTCTCTCTTCAGTTCGCTTCATCTTCGTCAAAAACCCTAATAATTGGTGCCCACTAATCGATCAATTGGAGCTGGGATGCCTCTGAAGTGATAGCCCATCAAGCTGTTTTCTTGAAATGGAGGATTTTTCCTGCGCTTTAGCGGGGAGCATTGACATTTTCTTGAATCTCTGAGGTAAAGATTTGTTTTTTTTTTGGGTTACTTTTTGTTTTCTTTTTTTCTGGGTTTGGTTTCTTGTTTTCTTGTTTCCTGAATTTTCTCAACATAGAGATGCTCGTAGGTTGAAGTCTCACTTATGCGTCTGTGTATGTATGGGTGTAATTGGACTTGAATTTCTCTGGAGTTTGGCGGATCCTGTTTTAGTTCTTTATTCTACCTGCTCTGATCTCGAGATTCGGTGGTGGGTTACTGAGTTTACTCTTGCTTTTCACTCTTCTGCTTCTTTTAGCTCCGAGTATAAATCACATTTGATTTTAGTAACATCTGTGATCTTTGACATGGCGTTTAAATTGGGGATCTGATAAGAAAACATGTAGGTCTTGTTCTGCATTTCTAGTTCTGGCCTCATATCTACTCCCTCCGTTCGATAATATTCTTCCCATTTGACTTTTCTTGGTCAAATTTGTAAACTTTGACTATGATATGTGGAAAAAATACATTGTATTAGGATATAACTTTAATATGTATATATTAATTTTGAAATATAGTTTTCAAATATCAAATTTTTATAAAATATACGGAGTATTCATGTATAAATAAAGATATTAGTGGTCAAAGTGCAATCTTGGAGACCGTAAAAAGTCAAATGGGAAGAACATTTCCGGACGGAGGGAGTAGTTTTTTAGGCGATTTCCCCGAGGCGTTTCGGTGACAGGTCAAGGTTTAATTTATTACGCTATTACAGATTTGTGCCATTTGGAAACTTTTGTTTCTCTCAAGATGCCAAATTTGGAAGTAATTATGGTTTTTTTTTGTTTTTAAATTTCCTACTTAGGTGTGTTTTAGAGGTGTTATGTAGTTTATTCACCAGTTTCTTGAATCGAAACTTACCGATCATCTTTTATGTTTGTTTCCTTAATCAGATCTATTTCTCGTAGCTGCGGTGTTGGGTAGAAGCAGGATTTGACATTTGTTTGAGCAATAATCATACAAACTAGCAAGGCTTCGGATTTTCTACTTAATGGCACATCTTGTGGCAAATCAGTTCAATAAAGGGACCTATCCAGGTTTGAGTTGCTCCGTTCTTTGAATTCTCACATATACTTTTTAGGACAGGTATCAATTTGATGTTAAGTATAATTCTTCAGCCTTTACGTCATCATTAATTCAAAGATGAAGTCTTTTTTCTTCATTCGCTTTAGATCGGCAATGCATGGGTATTTCGCGGTTATGTTGTATACTCTCACTAGCTCTAACATAAGTTCTCGTTTGCTTTTTTTTCCTCCACCCGAGCTTAAGGAGAAGTGGAATTGTATGGTGTAAGTTTATGCAGAGGAGAGAGAAATAACGTGAACCACTCATTTTTCCCCTAATTGGAAAGGGGTTTTTTTGGACAGCTGAAAAAAATAAAGCAGGAAGTTTTTTAGTGATGTAGGGAGCATTAGGCTTCCTTTGTTGCTTGTTTCCATCTTATCATTGGTTGTGAAGTCACAATCATTGCCCACTTTTTCTTTTAATGCTTTTCTATGACATGTTTATTTGGTATGTCATTTATTAGAGCATATAATGATGTTTTAAGTGTCATTCATGGTTCTTGAGATAATTTCATCAGTTCATCACTCATAAAAAAACACTCTACAATTCTGCATGACTATGGGGGTAGACTAGTCTAATCATTTAATTCAGAATGATAATATCTTCCATCATTTTTATTTTTTTCTCCCTCCCTTTTAGATTACTTTGTCCAATTGACCCTCAAGCCCCTGCATTGCTTTTTGTTTACAGGGTCTTCACATGATCCTTTGTACAAGGAACTCTGGCATGCTTGTGCTGGACCAATTGTGACACTTCCTCGGGAAGGGGAAAGGGTTTATTACTTTCCACAAGGTCATATGGAACAGGTAGCATATCTGCAATTCTAATCGTTTGTGCCAGTATGGTATTGACGAGTTTTCGTAATTGGCCTTTTTTAAATATTACTAACAACAAAAGAATCTGGAACTCACTGTTTTTTTCATTGTGTTATAGCTTGAAGCATCCACCCATCAGGGATTGGATCAGAAGCTTCCTTCATTTAACTTGCCAGATAAAATTCTGTGCAAAGTAATGAATGTTTATCTTCGGGTAAGTTTTATTGACACTATTTATTGACATTTGACAACTTGCCCATATAGTTCAAGTAACATTGTGTACATGTCTTTGGAGTAGGCTGAACCCGACACGGATGAGGTTTATGCTCAGATAACTCTGCTTCCTGAAACAAATGTGAGTTTTGCCAACCTTTGCTCCCATATTACTTCGGGTCCATTTCGATCCTAGATGGTGCTAATGAAACAATTATGAGGAAATCGAGTGTAAATTTGCAAGGAAAGAAAATTTGAGGAAAAATGGAAACGGGTTCAAACTCAACAATCAAATTTAGATATTTTTTCAAACACGCTTTACTTGTACTCCCTCTGTTCCATATAAAGGTTCCACATTTTCTTTTTGTTCATCCCAGAAGGCCAAAAGAAGGTTTCACTTTCTATTTATGGATAACTTTTTTTGTGGCTCCCTGGCTCATATTATTTCTCTATCTACACCACTTTCAACCACAAGGTTTTTTTTCTTAATAATCTTGTTGGTTCCATTGTGGAACATTTTTGTGGGAAGAGGGAGTATATTCCTATATTGATTGGTATAAAGACCAAGTAATATAAATACATGTGAAGTTCTATATAACTTTAATCAAGATTTAATTTTTCTTCATATTTTCAAAGGTAAAACATAACAAAAACTATTTTCCATGGCAACTCTTCATCCCTACTGATTTCTCATTTCTGAATTCCAAACATAGCCACAAAATGCTCATAGACTTCCTTGACAAAATTTCTGAAGTATGATGTTTCCTTCCTTTCTTTTCCATTGACACAGCAAAGTGAGATTACAAGCCCTGATCCTCCTCTGCCTGAACCAGAACAATGTAATGTCCATTCGTTCTGCAAGACACTCACTGCATCTGATACTAGCACCCACGGTGGATTTTCTGTTCTTAGGAGGCATGCCGATGAGTGTTTACCCCCACTGGTATCTTGACTCATGCTTAATGTTTCTGTGTGCTTTTACCTTTTGGTCTCCATAAGCTTTTACTTAAGTATTGTTTTCCTGGTGGATTTCAATTCTATGTTTGATGTGCAGGATATGTCTCAACAGCCACCATGGCAGGAATTGGTTGCTACAGATCTTCATGGCAGCGAATGGCACTTTCGTCATATTTTTCGAGGTTAGGGGTTTCGATAGACCCACAAATAATAATGAAAGAGAAGACGGAGAAACCAACATAATATAGGAGTAGGAAATTCTCTGGAGCATATAAGTTTTCATTCCATGCTTTATGATTACAGATTACATACATGTAAATGCTAAACCATAACACTTTAAGTAATCAAACATATCAATAATTAGTAACTAGACCATAATAAACATCATCACATTATGGTTGATAATGTATAGTTGGTCTCCAGTTACCTAAATCAATTAATGCTGGAGACTTGGAATTGTAGGCAACAAGACAAAAAAATTCAGGAAGGGAAAAAATTCAATTAATCTTTGGAATGTCCCTGATTTCAGGTCAACCTAGGCGTCACCTACTCACAACAGGGTGGAGTGTTTTTGTTAGTGCAAAGAAGTTAGTTGCTGGAGATGCCTTCATCTTCCTCAGGCAAGTGACATTGTTTTTGGAAGCTGGGGATTGTTTTGCCTTGCCCACATTCTCCACTTACTGTAACATCTCCTCTATATTATATGCAGGGGTGAAAACGGAGAACTTCGGGTTGGAGTTAGAAGGCTAATGAGACAGCTGAACAATATGCCGTCTTCTGTTATATCAAGTCACAGTATGCATCTAGGAGTTCTTGCCACTGCATCCCATGCCGTCTCAACTGGGACTCTTTTCTCTGTTTTCTACAGGCCAAGGTTTGCTCCCCCCTTCCCTTTTGCAGGGTTCCTTATATTGTAGCTCTGATTTGCAGTTATAGTGTAACTGGCATATGTATTAGGGTGGTTGCCTTATGATTTGTGATAATCTTAGACTATCACTGCAAATCAATAAGGGTATGTTTGGATAAAAAAATAATCTAGGGAAAGGTGAAAATGCTAATGGAAGCTTATTATGTTTTGGTTTATATAGAAAAATGAGAGTTTTTAAAATTTTAACCTGAGTTTTTTTCCACAGGACAAGTCGATCTGAGTTCATTGTGAGCGTAAACAAATATATTGAAGCTCAAAACCACAAGCTCTCTGTTGGGATGAGATTTAAGATGAGGTTTGAGGGCGAGGAAGTCCCTGAAAGAAGGTATTCTAGTTATTGACTAGAACTGTGTTGATACTGGGGGGTGTTCAGAAAGTATTTTAGAAAAAGCAGATTTTGTAAAGATCATTTTGAAAATTCGTTTATTAGAAGCTGCAATTTCCAGCTTCTCCAAATCAGTGTTTGGGAACAAATACAACAGACCCAGTAAAATCCCACAAAAAGTAGAATTTGGAACCATTATTTTTTTTCCTCTTTAGCAAAAACCATCCTTACATCTCATAGAAACATACACAAAAAGATTCAGTGGGACCATTGTTAGTCTTGATTACTATATTTTACATTTTTCTATCCGACTTATTTCACAGATTCAGTGGGACCATTGTTGGCCTTGAAGATGATACACCATCTAGATGGCCTGATTCTAAGTGGAGATCTCTTAAGGTTTGTATACTTGGTCTTTAATGCAACCCACTATATATTTTGGAGATCAGCTAATTACTTATCCAACATTTATCAGCATTTATCTAGATTAATTGTATATACCATTTGATGACATATACGTATTGTACATGTCCAGGTTCAATGGGATGAACCATCTTCTATAGTGCGCCCTGATAGGGTTTCGCCATGGGAGATTGAACCTCTTGTCACTTCAACACCTCAAATGCCCCAGCTTTCACAAAGGAACAAGCGCTCACGCCCATCAGCTTTACCTTCTTCTGCACCTGAATTCTCTTCATTAAGTATGATTCTTTTTCTTGGAAAAATATATGCAAATGCTCCCAAGAACTCGAGATTTTATAAAAATACTCTAAAATTACATAATTATCATCTGTCCTCCCAAAAATTCAATATTTTTACAATAATACTGCACAATTGCATATTGATCATGGATATGCCTCAAAAATGGAGGATCCATGTAAATTAACATTTTTAAAAATATTGAATTTCTAGGAGCACTGACGATAGTTATGTAATCTTGGAGTATTCTTGTAAAATCTCAAATTTCTGGGAGTATTGACATAAACTATTCCCTTCTTCTTCTTCGGTGTGTTGGGTGCCAAAGAAGTCTGAATTAAGGAAAAGAATTGTGAAGCAAAGTTATTTCTTATGTTCGGCTATACCTTGGAAAATGAAACATGATTGATTTGTAATTAGTGTGTATGTAAATGGGAGTAAATAATTTAAATGAGCTTGAGCGAACCTCTAAATTAATTCATTGTGTTTGAATGTATCCTTCATTTCGTGGAGAGGGGGGTGGGTGGTTTACAAAAGGAGAGTTAAAAGAAAAATTACTTATCAGTCACGACATTTTATTATATTCATATTAAATTATAGAAGATTACCCATCGAGAGAAAGACGTTAATATTGTATCCGTGTACCTTTAGCGGGAGACTCAGAGGAAGTAGTAAGTGTGTAACACTACGTAGAGCACCCTGTCTGGACTTTCCATCCTCTAAACTCACTTCTGGTTCCAAGGCAAATGAGAGTTGTTCTGGTAAACCCAAAGCGGACTATATTGCCCCTGTTAGTGAAAAGAAGCAAACTAATGGCTGCAGACTGTTTGGGATTGAGTTGGTGGACCATTCCACCGTTTCTGTGCCTCAAACTATTACGGAGAATTGTCCCCTTGTATGTGTAGATGCTGAATCTGACCAACAGTCTGTACCCTCAAACCCCTCCAGATCTGACGCTCAGGAAAATAGCTCGGTGCATGAGAAATCACAATCAAGGTCTCTCCATGAGTCCCAAAGCAAGCAAACTAGGAGCTGTATCAAGGTACTCGATAGTTGGTTTCTTTTTTGAACCACTTTTTGAAATAATGAGATGTTTTATATCCAAAGGATAAATTTTGTAGGCAAGTGTAGAAAAGAAACTTATTTCCCACCCCGACCAAAAGAAGTGATACAACAAAAGAAGAAAATTTTCATTAAATTTAATGTAATCTTTTCCACACAAATACATTCCAAACAAGTGATGCTAAAAAAGGAAATGAGAAGATGAATTTGGGACATCGTAAGGTGGCAAGTGGGAAAGTGATTTTGGGGCGGATGGAGTATGTTTAATTTAGTACTTTGTACTTATAAAAACAATTAAATTTGAACAAATAAGTAGGCTTTGGGCTTCCAAAAAAGTAGGCTTTGGTAATCTACTAGGGTTGTATTACTTGTATTGTATAAAACTTTTAAAAGTTGTATCTTCTTGAAAATGACTCTTTCTTCTTTTCCTCCTCTCCCTATATGATCTCCCTAAGGGGTTTAATATAAGTTTGTGTTGTGGATAATTTGCTTAGGTTCACATGCAAGGGAAGGTGGTTGGGAGAGCTGTAGATCTTACACGGTTTGACGGGTATGAAGACCTGCTCAGGAAATTTGAGGAGATGTTTGAAATTGAAGGTGAATTGTGTGGATCATCAGTCAAGAAATGGCTGGTTGTCTACACGGATGATGAAGATGATGTGATGATGGTTGGGGATGATCCATGGCAGTTGAGTCACTTCATTGTTTCTTCTCTTTTGCACTTATCAACCAACTCTGGCTTTAAAATGTTTTGTTTAAGAAGAATAAGGAGCCATTTGGCCTCTGATTCTGCTTTCTAGAATCTGATTTTCGGAAGTAACCAACTGTGATTCTCTAGAACCATCTAGTTCTGGGAACATAATCACCCAAGAAAGAGTAAAATCCAAACAGCTCTTAAAATGCTGATTCCAATTGGTATTCTTGTGCAGTGAGTTCTGCAACATGGCCAGAAAGATCAACATCTACACCATTGAAGAAGCAAAGATGCTCTCTCCTAAGATAAAGCTTCCTGCCAGTGAGGTGAGGTCAGGCAAACCAGTTTCAGACTCTTCTGTTGGCACTGAGGAACTGAGGTAAGGCGTGGGACCAGTCACTATTGCCCTTAACGGCTGCTAAGGAAAACATAATAATGATGGCTATTTGTGGTTCTGGTGGTGGCGCGGGACCAGTTTCGGACACCTGATTTAGCTTCTTTTTTGCCTGTAACAAAGCAGTAGCTAGCTTAGCAGGGTGGGTCCCGTACCGATTTGGGTATCTATTAGCGTATGGTTTTTGTCCGGCGAGAATCTGGTAATGGTTTCTTGTTTGAACCTTAGATTAGATTGTAGAAGATTGTCTGCAGCCTCTAATGGGAGGAGAGGGGGATGGACAGAAACAACTATTCTTCTTCCTTTTTTTGTGTTTTTTTTGCTGTTTCTAACTTTCTTTTATCTTTGGGCTATTTTTGTACAAAACCTTGTGGGTGAGACTGCCTAGTGGCTTGGTTTTTGGCTTGTTTTGTAAATATGATGTTTTATTAAAAAATGTGTTTTTCTGATTTCTCTACCACATTATGTCTTTACCCCAAGATGGGAAGACTGTTTTTACCCAAAAGTCTGTAAAAAAACATTCTTCACATCCTGCTTGCAATTCACTTTTAGAGAACAATACAAATCTTAAAGCTATATGTGCTTGCAACACAAAAGGCATTACAAATGTGTGCTACACAACAACTAACATAAATAACCTATGATGGATATTTGTTATCCTGTCATCTTACCGTGATCCATTCTTCTTCTTCTTGTTGATCTTCGAGGGTGTTTTTCTCAGACAACATTGAGAATGGAATTCTAAAGGGAGGACGAGCCTCGTGACTCTCGTCTTCATCATCAGAACAATCAGATTCGGGAAAAACACTCTTGTCAAGAACACTTGCTGGCGAAGAAGAAGAAGAAGAAGCGTATTTGAAGTTGTCCTTTGGGTTTTGCAGAACAAATGGATGTCGAAGCAATTCTGCAGCTTTCCAACGTTTTTTGGGATCTCTGTTTAGACATTTATCTAAGAAATCCAAACCTTCTTCTGATAAATGCCTTGGGAAGCTTGGCTTATCTTCGCCGCGCGCAATTTTTAAAATTATATTGTCTGAGATTTCTCCTGCCCAAGGAAGCTGCCCGGTCGCCAGTTCTATGACCGTGCATCCCAATGACCATATATCAGAAGCAAAGTCGGGCCCGAACTTGTTTTCACTTCTGAGATTCTCTGGTTGCCATCCATAGTGGACTCCCGCCAAAAGGGTGGCGAAGAGAATCTTTCTCTCTCCTTTGACTTGTCCTCCTTTGGGAGCAACCGAAATCCGCGAGTTTGACTTCACCGGATGATCCCAAGAGCACGTTCTTGCACTTGAGGTCGCAATGCACAATTCCATTCCCATGGAGATACTCGAGGCCTAATAGGATCTCTCGGGTGTACAAACGGATGACCGTTTCGTCCAATCTCCCTCCGAATTGGCCCATCACGTCCGCTAGACTCCCTCCTGCCATGTACTCCATGAAGAGGTTTGCTTTACGCGCGCTGCCCTTGGAGATGTCCTTCCCCAGACACTTCACAATGTGAGGAGAATCCAGAGTCTGTAGAATCTCTGCCTCGTTTTCAAGGCAGAGGATTCCTGACTCCGATTCTGCAGATTTTATGACAAAAAGGCCCCCGGTAGCTTTGTCCAGCGCCAGATCAATACTTCCATGGGACCCACGCCCAACGGTTCTTCCCTTCAGCCATTGGGCAGGCCTAGGGTATAAACACGGCTCAGAAGAGCAAGTTCTTGATGACATTGACATGTCTTCTTCCTCCTTGTTTGGTTACCTAAGTTCTTCATATAATGCAGCAGAACAAGTTCCCTTTTTTCTTTTTCTCCAAATTTTCCCTTGAACCTCTAAAATATTGAAGTAGTCACAAACATCTTTTTTTAAATATGTGAACAAGAAAGTGAAAATGATTACAAACTTTGAATTTTATTTGAAATTCTCATTATATAAATGAAAACAGAAATGCTTACAGGAAAAGAACGGAAATTTCTTGCCTATACAGAGCTAGAACCAATTTGTTGACAATCAAAAGAGCGGTTTCCTCGAAAGGAAAACCGTCCTAAGATCAAACTTTTGTTGCTGAAGAACGAGAGGAAGAAAGATAGAGAATTTATTTATTGTCTCTCTCCCCTCTCTTTCTTTTCCCACGAAACTATCAAAGGGAAAATGTGATTTTATATAATATTTGGAGGGATGGTTGGCTGTCAAAGGAAGTAATGGTTTAGATTTATGTGGAATTTAGAACTAACTAATTTTTGAATGAGGGAAGTGAACTTACATTTCTAGACCACAATTTCATATTTTAATAACCTTTACCTTTTTACTCTTTTAGTTCTTGTAATTTAGGGTATGTATTTTTTTTAAATTATTTTCAAATCAGTATTCTAATAAATTGGATTAGAAAATGCTTGTAATCAAATATTATAAACCAAAGTGTAAAATTTACTCCAATGTCAATTACAAATTGAAAAATGGCAGCAATGGGAGATTTGAGAAGAAAATGCAAAATTATACTCCCAATTTTTTTATGTGATTAACTTTGAAGACTTTTACCACAAAAAAGTACTGTATAATTTTTGCATTAATAGAAATATTTGGAAAATCCCCGATAAAATTCATGTTAATTTTCAAGTACTACCTCCGTCCCTGAGTACTTTTCCACTTTTTACTTTTTTCAGTCAACTATTTTCTACCTTTGACCTATAATTAAATATATATTTTATATAAATTAGATAAAATAATATTTTGAAAATATTTGATATAATAAGTCTAATAAAACTTTTTTTGTATCTGTATATCATTTTTATTTAGTTTGATGTCAAAATTACCAATTTGGCCGAAAAAGTTAAAAGTGGACAAATACTCAGAGACGGAGGGTGTGTTGAAGTTATTTGACATCAACTAAATATGAATAATACATTTTTTTAATAAGTATGATGCAAATCTCTTTCAATTGTGGAGTCTTATTTTTCTTTGTTAAATAGGCAAATCTCCTTTCATTTAAAGAAGCAAATGATCTAATTTATTAAAATTCCGAGGTATATCAAACTGAAAATTAGTAATCCATTCATATAAAATTTGATAGTAAAATTCTTTTGTGGAAAACTAAATGCTCTGAAAAAAATTTAAATTCCTAATGTTTCCAATCCAAATTCTTCTCTTTAATTTTAATTTATTTTACATTATCACAATTAAATATATACTCCATCTTAGAATAAGGTTTCACAACTAGTGGATCATAGTTAGAAAAGATAAAATTATGCTTGAGATTATCATAGAACCAAATTGAATGAACCACATAATTGAAGTGTACATGATACATTTGAATTCTTTCCACATAATCTCCACGACTTGTGTCTTCTTTAAAAGTACAAATTTTATAATTTTCATAAAAAAATGTCAATATACAATATTTTATGAGTATCATCTTTGACTAGAAAAATCAAAAAATCAAAATCGTTAGAAGAAATTATGTTAGAAAATGAGAACTTGCATTCATAACAACTACAAAAAAAGAATTTAAATTTTTTTTACCATTTTCTTGAGGCCTAAGTTTAGCATTTACAAATGTTATTGAGCTACTACTTAAAAAAACAAAGTCATAGACATATTATACTTATAAATGATGTCAATTGTGGGAACACTAAAATTCTTCACATATTAAAGCCCAAAATGAAGTGAAGAGTATGATTATGCTTCACTTTGTCCAAATTTACATTTTCTATTTGAACTCCCAAGATAAAGCCTTGCCAACTCTGACCTTATTTTAATACTCCAAGTTAATATTTATTTATATGCACAAATACTACATGAATATTTGCAGCCAATGTGTACATTGAAGATCGTAAAAAGCCAAACAAGCAATCTAATTTGGGACAAATGGAATAATGTATACTCCTCCATTCCATAAAAAGTCCATTTTAATGGGTCTACAACTTTTTAATTCAAGATATAACTTCTAGAAATCATAAACTATACTCTTTTTCAAGAAATTATTTTCATGAAATAATACTACATATCTGGGACAGGAGATATAAACAAACAACAACAACAACAACAACAACCAAGTTAAATCACCATTTCAAGAATAAGAGGACAAATGGCAATACAAAGTTATAGTATAACCAAGCTAAGTATATAGTATTATGTCCAAGTGTGAAACTCTATAAGAACCAAAAATAAAAATAGTATTATTTGTTGTTTGAATGTGGGAAAAATGGTCAAATACACATGATTAGATATGGGCTGAAATTCTTCAAATGTTTCTTCTTCTCCTTCTTCTTTGTTTTCAAGTAACCATTCTTTTACAAGTGTAATCGAAAAGTACCTGAAACGCGCTTCTGGTATCTCTCTCGTCGGGCAGCTTGAGAAGGCGGGCGACTCTCTGAAAACCAGCGTGTTGCCTTTGCAGAGTAGCTTCGGTGATGGTTTCGGGCATCACTTGTGGCTTGGAAGAAGGCTTTGGCCTAGTCAATGCCCACTGCATTGCCCAGATTGACAAAGGGCGCATGTAGGCTAGAGACCTGTACCTCCCATCTATGGTCCAACCTTCTGGTGTCTGGAAAGCATAGCTGCAAACGGTGGGAGAAGAAACACCTCTAATATCAGCTTCATGCTGTAATTTTTTTTGTTTTTAAAATTTTTGCATCACATAAATAAATCTTATGTTTATGTTAAATACAAATACCTCTCTTTACGGAGGATATGGCCTTAGATAGGAATACCTTGAAATCTAAGTTATAGTAGTTGTATAGACCTTTGGGCCTTAGTTTGTAGATTATGCTTGTGTTCTTTTGTCTTACTCTGTAGCTTTCTGTGCTTTGGGTCCTATTGCTAATGTCAGTATGAGCGCTTCTTGTGTTTGTGCTCTAACTTTGTTCGTACTATAGTGTTTACTTTGTCTGTGTTTCTGTGTTAGAGCCGGGGCACACCCTTCTCACACCCTAGGTTTTGTGGGATTCTACTATGATTGTTCATTGTTGTAGTGCATGTATATAAATATTTGTTTCATATGAAAGCTTACACTATACACATTCTTCCTTTATCTTTTCTTCAAATTAGACTCCTTTTATTGGATAAAATTATGTTGAAAAACAAGATTCATTTTACGAGACGAATGGGAGTATACGATTGACTTGATATGTTATGCCTAAAAACAAAGAATAATTGTCATGATTTGAAATATTTGTAAAAAAAAAGCAGGGATGAGGTCACGTGGTTTCTTTGTGTGGTCTTTTTCAATTTTGCTTTATCATTTTAGGCCAATATGACTCAAGGAAAACATTACCGCCAATCTATACTTAAAGGGAGATGTTCATGCATATTTTCACATAAAAAATCATAGGTCAATGTGCACCCAGAGATAAACCCTAAGCCTTTGTTTGGTTTAAAGAAGAAATAGAGAAACGATAAATGGGTGAGAGAAAGATGGAGACTATGGAGATAGTAAAGAAATAGGGTAGCAATTCGTATTTCTCTTCATGAGGGGGAAGAAATAAAACCAGTGTCAAACAACTCTCTAATTATTGTCCTATGCATTTCTCTCCTAACCAAACAAGAGATTCTACATTTTGTTCTCTTATTTCTCCGTTCCTTCTCTCCTTTCTAACCAACCAAAAGCTAAAGGCGTATTTGCAATTTTGCATCTTTTCCCAAAACAATGTTACAAACATGGCTTATTTTATACGTAGTATTATTTTTAAATGTGTAAAATTGTAAAATTCCAATCCAAAATCAATTGGTGATGAAACTTATATTTTAAAACTCCGTATATATTAGTCTCTTTAGAGTTTAGACTGGGTGTACGATGTGGAACTATATCCTCAACATCCCATCAAGTGCAACTTGGGTCTTTTTCACTTCTAAGCCTTGGCTTTGACACCATGCATAATTGTGAGATTCCAACCCAAAACCAGATAGCGATGAGAAGATTAACTCATGTTCTTATATACTCCGTATTAGTCTTTTTAGCCTGGCTGTACAATGTGGAACTAATGAACTACTCCCTCTGTCCCAAAAAAAATATTCATTTCTTTTTCAAGACGTCCAAAAAAAAGAGTCATCTTCCTATTTTTGGCAAATTTTTTGTGGCCCAGCATCTTTCTCTCCTCTGCATCACTTTCAATCACACAATTTCACTTTTCTTAAACTTTGTGCCAAACCCGATTGGGAGGCTTTTTTTGGGACGGAGGGAGTATATCCTAGGTAGTAGGGAGGACTGAAGAGTAGTGTACTATTCACGTACCCGAAACCTTTTTCAGACCAACTGGTTTCATAGACTCCAACGGCAGTTTGAAATGCCAAATCAAACATGTCTTCATGAATCATGCCTGCAGCAACAGCATAGGTAACCCCAGACCAGATTTCTCTTGCCTGCATGCATGATAAGTCAGGTTCACCATTTGGTTGCATCCCATTCACGGCCCCGCGTCTCCCATCCTTCACCTTTAAGACATTGAAATTAAAAACAGTCTCAAGGGAAGTTCTGGCTTGTTCTTCATCAACAATAGGTGCAAGACCGCATGCTCTAGCATACCTACAAAATTAAGATGAGCAATTGAAATTTAAATGTGGATGCAAAAACAAAATGTTATGGAGTGCAAGGGACAATTAAGGCATTCACAGTTTACTTGTCAATTCCCTTTGACAACGAGCATTTTTTTTTATGTCTTTTGGCTTATCAGCCGATTTTTTTCACCAAACATTAACTTATTTCACTGTGATGGCTGAATGGATTGACAATGAAAAAAAGTAGGGCATTCATTGCTTTTAGTTGAAATGGACTAAATTAAACAAAATGGCATTTCTACATACATTTTTTGATATTAATATCTTTAAAAATGTAAGAAATACGGAGTATATATTTTGAATAAATGTTTTTGGGTGATTTTGCAGATTCAGCCACTTAAATGATTTAAGGCCTTACCAAACAGGCTCTAGAGGCATTATCACTGTTAGAATATAAAATCCCGGGGCCTACAACCATGCACAAGCTTGAGCTTTTGGTTGAGTTGGTTCCTTGACAAGCCTTGTTGACCAAGAGGTCAAGAGTTTGAACCTCACCGCCATCCAGTTTTTAAAAAATTAGGGTTTCACATGCAAGGCTCGAAGCTACGCATGTGAGGGGGCGTGTTAGAATATAAAATCCCTTCTTGAGCCTACAACTACAAGCTCAAGCTTTTGGTTGATTTGTTTCCTTGACAATCATAAAACGAAAATACTATAAATTTCAAATAGTTTCTAGCGTAATACCACTGTCCAGCAAGCTGATCAGCTTGAATGGAAGAGCTGACCCGACCACCACAGTCATCATAGTTGAAGTATGATCCATTCCATAGTTTTTGATACACTTTTTTTGCCTTCTGGAACTTGAACCAAAAGTATTCTGCAGAACCCTTATCGCCAACTTCCCTTGCCAATGCAGATGCAGCCTGCAATGCTGCCACCCATAGCCCACCACAGTATGCACTCACACCCGAGACAGACCACACATCATATGTCTGATCAGGAAACCCTTCGTTTTCAATCATCCCGTCCCCATCTTTGTCAAATTGGTCCATGTAAGCAATCGCCATATACACAGCAGGCCAAACTGCTTCTGCAAACTTTTTGTCACCAGTGGCAATGAAATCCCTGTAGACTTGCAGGACGAACTTTGGATTCAAATCTTTCCACCTATCCGTGTTATGGAGGTTGTAAAAATTTACCTCAAACCAAGGATCATTCATTCCAATGTCATGGGGAACAGCACCAAGTGCTTTTCTAGTTCCCAGTTTGCCATCATGCAGAAGGGCCACCTTATCGGGGTCGTGCATCATGACTGCGGCAGCATAGTCTCTTTGAATGCTAAGCTCGAGTTTCGGGAATAGCATGGCTAAAGCAAACGATGCATAGAAATGAACATCATACGTATTACACATGAGATACTCGCTTCCCTCAAGATACAAGAACTGGCCAACGTTTTCTTCTCCCTTCTGAAGAAGATATGTCCCTAGAGCAGCACTAACTGTTGTACGAGTTTGTCTTTGTTCTAGTGCTGAGGTCATCCGTTCAAGAATGAGAATAGCAGTGTCGGTTGTTGCTTGGGATTGGTCACTACTGCTTTTAGGATTTGATGAAATACATCTATCAATGGAGAACTTTTTATCACCATTGGTTGACAAAACATGCATTGGCGGCGAACCATCTATAAATGGGGCAAGTTAAGTCAAATTACAATTAAAAAAAGGCAGCCCATGCACACAGCACACAACATCCCCCCCCCCACAAAAAAGTGAGAGTGAGGGTCCCAGTCCCACCCACAAGGGCGTAATGTTGGAAAATTTTAACCTGCGTATTTGGAAGAGGCTGATTCCAGAACCCTTGACCTTAAGTTACACAACAAAACCTTATGTGATGTGCCAAGGCTCCCCTTATGACATATTATTGTTCTTAATTTTATCTAATTTTGAGTAGGATAAGGTCTGCGTACCCACACCCTCGGCAAGACCCAACTCTCGTGGGGGGATTCTACTGAGTTGTTGTTGTTGTTGTCCCTCCATACCAAAAGAAAAAGTCATGTTTCATCAAGCTACAACTTTTAAATTTTCTTAAGGTAGAACTCTTCTAAACTATCAATCCCACATTCCTACATAAATCCTTACATCTTTTTCTTAATACTAAGTCTAACCTATTTGAACACCCTTTTTGGAAAAAGACTTGAGTTTTTCAAACATAGCTTTCTTTACATGTTCAGGATTTTTCTTTGGAACTAAAATAAGCATGATGTCTTTTGGGATGTAGAGCTTGCATAACCAGTTTAAATATCATGAAACTTGTCCCCCAGCAAGTACCTGTCCATATTGTTCCTCCAGAGTTAAGGTAATAGAGTTCATTGAAAAGAGTAACTGGGTGCCTGAAATAAACCACTCAAGCTTTAATATCCATTGCAGTTGGAATCTCCAAAATCCAAATGAAAAAAGAATCTCACCATTCCGGAAGCCTTTTGTCATCAAGAATTGGTTTTTGCCATGCCTCTATTTGTGCTTCCCAGTTGGTATGCTCTGTGATGCATCAAGCAACAGCCAAAGAATCAATTGCAAAGCAATATTTTCAATCAAGCAAAGGACTTTTGGTAATAGTCTGGTAATGAGAGAAAGTAGAATATAGAAGTGTCGTTGGTTGAACACAAATCAAGTCCAGTTTAAGGGTGAGTTATATAACAAAACAATTTCAGAGTGAAAAAGAGAAAAACAATGGGAACCCCAAAAGCTAGCTATTAAGGTGGGAGAACCCTTGGCTATTTAAACCCCACACCAATCCCCCATTTGACAGGCGTGGAATCCCGACTTTTAGTCTGTATCATTCGACCCCCCACCCCAATAAGGCCCAACGTCCTTGTTGGTCACGGACAGTTGGTCACAGCTGGTTTCACCAGGCCACCACTCCGTAGGCCATCAAAGCGAGTTCGCTCTGATACCATTGATACAGCACAAAGGAAAGCCACACCCCAAAAGCTAGCTATTAAGGTGGGAGAACCATTGGCTATATAAGCCCCACACCAATCCCCCATTTGACCGGTGTGTGATCCCTATTTTTAGTCCGTACGTAATACATTACCATGAAGAGCATCACGAGCAATATCTGCAGCTGCACAGCCAATAGTGCCATAGAATTTTGTGTAGCGCCTGTGTTATTCAGAAAATTAGCAATAAGATCTCAATAAGGTCCCACAAAGATGAACAATAGGGTAAAACGACTACGGAGTAAAGAAAGTTAAAGAGCATGAATAAACAAACCCCTACAAAGATAAAAAAAGTAGCAAAAACAAAACAACTTACTTCAATGTATTTCACTACCGACCTGTGGTATGTTCTCCCACTATGGAAATATATTTCTGGGCAAGCCCATGCCAATGCAAATGTGACGGTATGCTCCTTCTTAGCTGGAATAGTCAAAGAAGCAGCTACGGCTGCCCCAATAACTGATCCCATTTCAGAAGGCGCAGAAACTTCTTCCAACTTAAGGCGGTCAAAGGATCCATACTATCAAAGAAAAACGTAAAAACTTTGTCAAGAATAACAACAATAACAAAGAAGGAAGAGTATAGAAATGCAATGAGGTAAAATAGAGAATGATATCCTCTCACAAATGCTTTAGAATTATAGATTTAAACTATATAGACTGGAAGTTTATTACCAGTTTTTTAATCCTTAGACCTCCATTGGATATGAACAAAACATCTTTCTCCTAATTATACCTTATACAGATATCCTGATCCATTTCAATTGAAGTCATTTTCTCACATGATCCTGCCATCCTGCTTTGCCACCGACCCCAACTACTTGGGATTAAGGTGCTGATAATGATGACAAATGACTAATTTCAACGTGCAGCATGTTCACTGAAGAACTTTGGCATGAAAGATGCCAAGACATCGAAGAGAGCATTTGAGTGAAGAGTAGAGCCACCACTCAGATCTCAGTTCAATGTGTTGAAAACATTTTCCATTTTCCAGATCTATACCTAAGTTTTTTATTACTCCCTATTTTTTAAGTGCCACTTGGCTTTTTAGTAATGACTAATTAAAGTTCTTTTTTTATGTCAAAAAAGGACTAGATGTGAACATGCCAATACTATTCAATTTGTTTTTTATCTTCCCTCCCTTTTTGGGGAATGCCAATTAATCTTCTCCTTTCCTTTTTCAGTAAAGAATAATCCCCTTTCCTATTTAGGATGTAATTGTATGGTTCGTATAATTTCTCTCTCTATCTCTCCATAAGATTTCAACTATACAGCTTCACCTCTTAAACTCCGCTCAATACGCAAACAGAAACATTAAATAAGGACGAAGGGAGTGTAAAACTATTACATAATGAGACCATGTGGACTATGTTTCCACCTCAAAAATCAAACTTGTCAGCTTAGGTAGCCTAACTAAGAAAATAGAGCAAAAAACCAGCCAAAGTACATTATAATACGACCGGACCTCTTTTATTTCACTCCACATATCCTTTGCTGTAATGCCTTGCGACTCCCCGGATATTACAAAGGCAGGGCACTCGGAGACCCGAACCACGTCAGATTCTTTGGCTGCAATTGCAAAAGTTACTGAGGGTAGTCCACCCGCAGTCCTGTATTTGGGAAGTAGGCATTGAGATAGAAACATTCCAAAGTCTGTGAGACTGTGACCTTTACATTTTACCCCAATGACAAGGCCTCCTTCATGCTTAACCAGAAAAAGACTTACAAATGGTGCAAGAGGACACCCCGAGTGCCATCTTCCATCCTGTCCAATAATGACAGTTGAGTTCACAATGCATGAGGAAGTTAACTTGTTAAAGAAGGTAAGAAGCCTAGAATCGGATTGAAGGATGTGAATGAATTTAAGATACACCAACAGGAATTACCTAAACTTTGAGTTGAAGTGTTGGCCAGAACTTCCGGAATCTCCACCAACAGAATTCTGGAAGCATGTATATTATACTATATAGTGAAGTCTTAGTTATCCAAAGACCATAACTTAACAAAATGTAATGAACAAATATTATTGCATCTATAGATGCATACTCTATAATCAAGTGAGTGAGACTTACTGCCCAAGTGAAAAGCAAGGTAACATCAGCAGGTGTCTTCCCCGAGTTAGAAATCTGATATAAAAAAGAGGAAACTACAAATAAGTAAAATTAGACACCCAAGAGCAAAATTTTACAAATAAGGATTACTATCGTGATTGTGTTGTAGGTTCAGCACTAGCTGTATTTCTAATATCTGGTGGTAGAGGGGGCACCGGACAAGCACCAGAGATGAACGATAGCAGCCACCAGCAGTGTGGTACAGGTGGCACCGATGGATGCTGCTACTATTTAGACTGCTACTTCTACTATCATAGGATGTGCAATAGCAGTTTATACTGCTACTGATGTTGTTACACGTTCAAGGCTGACATTTTGTGTTTATATTTTTGGTCAGAGATACTTTTGTAATTTTCCTCATAATAATTTCCAATTTTTTTTCCTTTTAAGTGAAATATAGAAAATATACATGCCAGTAAAAGAGTCACAAGTCATCATTGACAATGTTTTAGTTTGGGCACATAATGAACTAAATAAAAAAAGGCACATTAAACTTCCATTTCTTCTTACTCTCTATGATGTTTTGGGCACTAAATGCAGCAATGCATCTAGGGTCTAATGGAATCAGTCTGTGTTCTTATAGGGGTAAGACTGTAAGAATGGGTACATTTTGACCCCTCAGACCCCAACGGAGTTGGGATTATACTAGATTGTTTTTGTTGTTGTATGCATGCCAGTAAAATTTGGGGGTGCATGACATTATGGTTGAGAGGTCTGAGAAGAAAAGTAATTTATAAGAAACGTTTTCTGACCTTGAATGTAAAGACTGCTGCAGGCAGGCTGCTATCCTTGTAGTTATGAGGAATAAAAGGTGAAATCTGACGGCAAGCGATCTTAAGCGAGGGGTCAGGTTCACCTAGGAATGTGATGATACTTGATACCATGAGAACACTATTTAGGTATGATACAAGGATAGTGTAAATGAGTTGAACATGGGTTACCGTCATATATTGTCCAAGCCCTTGGAAACAAGGCATGGTATGTAGACTTTTGTCCTCCAAGACTCCAGTCCCAAGATCTTATTCCAGAAGCTGAATTATCACTGTGTATCCATATAAACCATATTAATACCACTCTGTAGGGTCTGTGGAGTATAAAGTATATGTTGACCTCCTATATCCCAATGAATACAGGGGCTGACTGTGTATCCGTATGATACTATGATATGACTATTATGAGTAATTTTTCTGCTAAAATACACGCACACAACTTAATTGTCAAATAGACTGCTCCCGTTGTTAGTGTTTTATGTACTTCATGCACCCATCATTTTTCAACTGAAACTAATGAGAATGTTAGTTTGGGTTGCTTACTCTATCACTTCTGGGCTTCTTGCACATAATACGGTAGAATATTTTTCACCATTTGGGCGTGAAACAAATACCTGTACAAGGAAGATCAAAGCAAGTGCAAGGCTAAGCCACTTTCTTCTGGAACACTTTAACACTAACAGTTAGCTAGAAACCTCTGTCATCAAAAGTTGCATTTGTGGTTTTCCTATTCTTTTTATCACTCTGAAAATCTGAATGTATTGGTATATATTCCTTCAAGTCCATTGAAGTCTGAAAAAAGTGGTATATACTCCAACTATTCCTTATTTTAAAGCACAATTAACCAAATTACTCAAACCGTGCAAACTGGCTAAAGTTTTTGAGTTCTTAAAGAAGATGATCATATCCCAGGTTTACCCTATTTTATTATGCTCGTAAATCTATAATTTTAAAGAACAAAATTGAACACAATATTTATCAGGGGCAAACTATGAAAAGCTAGCATGTGTTCAATAGATTAAAATACTACCTTATAGCATGTATGTTTTTTCTCTATCAGATAAAATGACTGATATCAACTGATTCTCTTTCTAATTCATTTAATAACTGAGTCTCGAACATATAAAATTACTTACGGTAAAGGGGTGTTCTATTGAGAATTGAGAAAAAGCAGTAGCATTAGAAATCTGCAATGAATAAATAATACTCCCTCCATCTCATAGTAATTCTCATAAGAATTGGGCACAAAATTAATTACAATTGCATGCTTAAACAACAGTCTTTTAATAAGTGAGAATTTTACATTGAGATAGAGGGAGTACATTAAAAACATCAAACTCACAGAAAATTGGTTTGCATGAACTGGTCTGTCCTCGCATATTCTTGGAAATATTTGCCAGCGTAGGAATTCACCTTTGTAGCTTCTACCAATGCTTCCTGCACTGAAATTGTTCTCATTTGTGATCAACTCGTTGCATCAAGACACAAAAGCATTGGGATGCCATGACCAGAGTGCAGATAACAGTGCCCATGTCAAGCAAGAAATTCCATTTATAGGAAGTTTTCATTCTGCATGTAAAATTGGTTTTCCATATAAATATCACTGTGACGTACCCCATACCACCTAGAGGAACACCTTGGCATGATGAGAAAGGCCGCCTGGTAAAAGGATCAACAAATAATCCTTCCTGCATTATTAACAAACACATAATACATGAGATTTTTTCCTGCAGTACCAAAACAAAATAGACCATAAGTTCATTAAAGTAAAAAATTTTACTTTCGCCTTTCTGTCTCGTAAACGTCTCCATAGTCGATAGCCAATTGGAGCCTACCAAAAAAAGAAGAAACATGTAAAAAACCACACACACACTCAAAGGGAGGGGTGCCAGAACACAACCTCACAACAGATGAACAGTACAACAAATGCCAAAGCTTGAAAATAGTCAAAATACTACTTAGTGATTTTACATTTCTAATATATGCAAGTGGGGCATCGGTGCTGGGGAAGAAATCTGTAATGTTTTTTCATGATCGCAGTTTATTAAATCGTATAGCCAAGATAGAAAATACAGCTGATATACCGCCAAGTTGGATTTTAGAAAATTATAAAAGAAAAATACAGACCCGACCATTTTAAGGAGAATAAAACCAATAGGATTGACATGCCCACATGCATTTCCAAATACTCAAGATGCATTTCAAATGAATAACTATTGAATTAGCAGAAAATAATAAAAACAGCAAACCAGGAACTATTTAAATTATAGTGTTTTCAAATGACTCTTGTTCAAAATAAACCTGGACCATAAGTGTAACTTATTCGATCTGAACTACACGCAGCAGTAAAATATCCAGATGAATTTAATGCATACCAAAGCAACCATCTCTTTCACACTGAGGTTGAACTCCGACAGAACCTTGTCCACGGTGTCAAGTTTCCGCTGCCATGTCAAAGAAGGAGGTTCCAAAGGCCAGGCCTTTACATTGAGATGAAACCAGAGTTGAACAAGAAGTAATCAGATGATATAAAATCGATATACATTTATAATAATGACAATAACTTTACAACTGCAGACTAAGGAGTTGTTCTTTTTCCTTAATTTTAACTGGAGACTGAAATCTAGAGTCAAGAGTCTGCTTTAGTTTAAAGTAAAATCTAGTGTCTCAAGTCTAATAACTAGAGTCTAGAGTACAAAACCTTGAGTAGGGAAACTAGAGCATGGGTAATTGGAATTAAAAGTTGAAAAGAACATTGATAAGGAGTGCATGCATATATTGAGCTCCATGAGTCAATAGAACTTCACCATGATTTCCCAGTTTTCTTTAACTAACAAACATCTTTGTATTGAGTTACTGACATTTCAGACAGCATAACTGTAGTGTCGAAACTAAATACCTGTGAAATAATAGACTTATGCCCAATTCAACCCCAAAAGTTAACATGGTCCCAACATCAATGACCTTAGCTTTGATACCATGTGAAATACTCCGTAATAGACTTGGGCCCAATTCAACCCCAAAAGTTAACTCAAGAGGTTGAGACACCCAAGTCATTATAAATACCATAATTCTGGTGTACACGGCCGATGTGGGATGACTCTAACTCAACAATACCTCTCAAAATCCTTGAGTGTGTTTGGTTCTGTGCTTTTTTCCACTCATCACACCACAGGTGAAAGTTTGCGGTGTCCACCCGAAGAACCACTCTACAACTTAGATTAGAGTTAAGGTATCCTTACACCTTGAAACCTAAACACTACTCTTGAGTCGGATATACCGGGTTTGTTTGGTTCTGTCTACTTAGCAAATCGTAAGTGCTAAATATAGCATTTTCCAAAAGATGAAAGGAATGTTGAAACGTGACATCTGCCAGCAGTATAAACTATTGATGGTAAGTTCTAAAGCAAATCACTTTTTCATTTGTTGGCTACCATAAGAAAAAAGTAAAAACTACCTTTTCATGCTCAGAAATTTCTTCTTCTCCGCCATGAAAACCATGATCCAGCATAGTTCCTCCGCTACAATGGGATCAGAGGTTCCAGACTCCCTTTCCTTCAAATCTGAGCACAAAACGGGACAGACTCTTCCACATACGAACGCTATAATCCCTGATTGAAAGAAAAAAAACACTACTAAAGAAGAGAAAAGTATGATCGGCCGATCAAACGGAGGATACCCAGAATTTCTTTATTCAGCGGATACAGGCAAGCAATAGACAGAGAAAATGTGAGATCTTTGGATCATTGAGGGTCAAGATTAAACGAAATGCAAATGATTAGCGATGAAATGAAAATCTAACTTGAGTAGAAGAATAAAGTTGCAGATGGAGAAGTTGGAGTGGATTAATGAAAAAAGAGACTTTTGGCTGTTTAGGAAGTCATCATCAGACAATCTACTCTTTTTTTAAAAAAAAAAACTACAATTTAATAAATTCCTCAAATTTTTATATTGATCTAAAGTCTTGTGGTGAATCTTCATATGTGCGAGATAAATACTCCATAATTATTAAAAGATGTTAATAGTCACACTCTACCAAAAAAACTAAACTCACTTAACATACTAATTTGAGTCTACTAATTCGTATTTCCTAAATTTCCTTAAATCTCGTGATTCAGACGTCCTCATATACAATCTAAGATTATTAAAAATTTAAAAAAATATATTTTAAACATAAATATAATTTTATTTATTTTATTTTTCTAAGAACTATATGGCATGCATTATATAAATCTTTTTTAATTATTAGATATGTTTTTATTTGAAATAAAAGTTGTTTTAATAATGATGCATTTTCAATAACAATTGTGTAAACCATTGTTTTATGAAAAGTAATATCATGCACTACGTAATGGATAATTTTAAAAATTTATATATAGCCTTACTTTTTAAATTATTGCAGTTTATAAAACTGTTTAAAATAATACTTCCTCCGCCCTCCATAGATCTTCCCAATAGCCCTTTTTCTTTGTCCACAATAGATCTTCTCATTTCATTTTTTAACAATTAAAATACTACAACTATCCCAACTTACTTTATTTATTATACCTCACCCACCTCATTTAATACACTCCACCCATTTTTCATTAAGGGTATTATGGTAAACTATCACTTTTTTTCAACTCTCCTTAAAAACCACCAAAAGTCAAAATGAGAACATCTTAGGGTAACATAATATGCATCATAGAGTGTACTTAGTTGATTGGGTGTAGTTAGTATTTTAGCGGGTATGTATATTACTATCCTTTTTAAGTGTTGAGATAAGCATTTTTTTAAAATAGAAAATTTGTGAAATAATGTCCACGTGGACCTTAGGCCCACCACATAACCTTTCTATAAACTGAGGATATGATATATATGCGGTGGGGTCTAAAGTCACCCACTTAAAAAAATTATTTTGGTAAGAGTGGAAAATTTTAACACTCCTTTCGTCCCACAAAATATTACCCATTTTGATGTATTTTTTAGGAGTGGGCAAAAAAACCGAATTAGCATGGTACCGAACTAAACCGTAATGGTGTCATACCGTTTCGTCTATTTTGAAATGGGATTTGATTTTTTCATCACGAACCGATCACGAACCGCTCTCAAACGGGACGGGACCGTGATACAAAAATTAAATACCGGTAATCCCGGACCGTTTAAAATTCCATATATTTTGTAAAAATTATATTGGGCTATTAAAGATATTAGGCAATTAATATCACTAATTTAAAATTTATGTAGTTTTATTAATTTATTAATTTTCTAGGCTAAAGACCTTAGTGCCCAAAACCCCTAAAAATCTCATGTTGCCATTATGGGCTTACTCATATGCACTACGGAAGTACGGAGTAAAAATGAATTTACTCCTAGATTACAAATTAGCCTCAAAAATCAAAATAGAGCAGAATCGAAACCGAGCACTCGAATAGGACAGAAACCAAAAGGCATAGATTGAAGCCTATGAAATTTATTGTGATTGGGAGTAGCTTATGTTTTTTGGCATTAGTATGAATATAAGTGACCTATGGATTGACATTGCGCTTTTTAATTGTTTTCAAGTGTCCATGCCGATTTGAAATCAATACATTTTTTTATATAAATTCGTGCGCTTTTATACACAATTATACTTTTATTTTAATATACTTTGAGTAATGCATGTTTAATACATTTGGCACGGTTTGAGCATGAGTATGGTAGTGTACCGTTCCGTTTTAAAACGGAATGGTACCGAATGGTTTTAGGATTCATCCCGTACCGGTACCATTCCGTTTAAATAAGAGCGGTCCGTGATAGGTTCTGGTAGTATCACGGACCGTTACGAACCGCGCCCACCCCTAGTATTTTTGGTCAAACAGTTACATACTTTGACCATAAATTAAATACTCCGTATAGTCTAAATAAAAAAATGTTATAAAAATTTGATATATCAAAACTAAATCCTAAGATGAATTCAATTTTATTAAATTTATATTATAATTCAATATACTTTTCTCACAGTTTGTAGTCAAAGTGTGTAACTATTTGACCAAATACTATGAGACGGAGGGAGTATGAAATAAGAATTGAGAGATATAAAAGATGAGTAAAAATATTGGATAGGAAGTTGATGAACGTTTGAGGTAGAAGAAGCGGGTTAAATATACATGGGGTCACCTCTACCCCAAAATACCAGGGGGGGTGGATGCTTAATTGCTTATCAAAATACCGACTCGGTATTGTTCCGAATTGGACCAACATTAAATCAAACCAAAAAGTGGATTTTCAAGTAGTTCTAGTAAATTATATTTTGAACCAAACCATTTTCAAAATAGCACGAGTCGGATTTTCCAAAATTAAAAACTGAAAATACTAAAGTGAACCATTACCACTAAAATACTCCGTATTAAATTACTCCTTCTGTCCTATATCTTTCTTCCCGTTGTGCAAAACGAAGAAAAATCCCAAGTTTTTTCAATCTATTTTATTTAAATATTGGTATAGAAATAAAAAATAAAACATACATACATCAAAAGTTCAACAAAACAAGTGGTGACAAGAATATTTTATTTTATCATATAGGCCATGAAAAAGCACAAATAAATATAAATTTCCGTGAAGTTGGAATAGTGCTATGGGAAGAAAGTTTTAGGATGGAGGGATTAATAAATTGTGATGTAATTTAAAAACTATAGATTGTCTAATAAATTAATTATACATTTTCATTTGTTAGAGTATATTTTAATTAATTGAAGTCTTATTTATTCGGTGTGATTTTTACATACTTAAACATAGTATTCTCTCTATCATAAAAATAACTTTTAATTTGATTTTTTACGGTCTCTAATGCAATTCTTTGACTAATAATATCTTTATTTTTATTTCGACACATTTTTTTACATTAAACTGAACCGAATCAAACTCTAAGTTGTTGTTCGGTGTTTGGTCTTGAGTAAAAATCGAACAAAAAAAAATCGAACCCAACCCTACACATATTAATTGCTTCATTGAGATTGTGTTGTTATAAGTTTTTTTAATGCTTATAAATTTTTACTTTTAAAAACTGAAAAAATAAAAAAAGAGAGCAAAAAACTGAATAAAACCAAACTGAATAATCAACAGTTTACATATTTTTGGTGTAAAACTAAAAAGTCATGCTAGGGGTACACCAATTTGGTATCCGTCATTTGAACACTATTGATCATAACCTTTAAATTTTTAATTTTTTTTACCCTTAAGATTGTGTGGTGGAGATGGAGTGATGTATATTTTTGAGGTACACTTTTTATTATGGGAGCGTCTAAAATGACGTCAATTACTTATACACCAGTTCGTTTGGGGTACCTACGGTGCTCCGTTTGTAAAAATGACGATTCTTACCCCCTAACCCTCCCCCAAAGGCCAAAACCTTGCACCCCAGCCCCACCTCCCGCCACCCTCCCTACCAGGGTAGGGAGGGGGGCTGGGGTGGGGGGCAAGGGTGGGGCTAGGGTGGGGGGTTTTGGGGAAGGGTTAGGGTGGGGGGTTTTGGGGGAGGGTTAGGGGTAGGAACCGTCATTTTTATAAACGGAGCACTGTAGGTATCCCAAACGAACTAGTGTAAGCAAATGACACCAGTAGCACTGATGTCATTTTAGACTTGTATCCATGGCTTTATCAAACCAAAAATTACCAACATTTTGTTATAAAAACCTAACCGTCCAAACGGAATTAGCTTCTCTCTTCAGCCAATGCTCACCTATAGGCTACCGCCCCCACTTGCTCTAGCAGAGCTAGCACGGAGGGGACTGGAGAAATTTTGAATCTTGCGGTTCATAAGCTTTCCCTCCTTTCGTTAGCGCCGTATAGCGCTGGATGTTGGGAGTTTGGCCGATCTCTCTCCAGGAAAACGCATCGCCATGTTTACACATTATCTATAATTTACTTCAACCGTTGATTGAAATCAGATGAATGTGCGAAAGGCCAATCGCGTTTCTAGGGCTCCATCCCAATGGGAAAATCGCAATATCTCGCTTCCCCTGTTGTGCCCCTCGGAGGGTTCATTTTTTTTCATTTTTATTTTTTGGAATTACCAAAAATACCGGAGAAGATACGATTCCTCCAGCCCCCCATACTCGAATCCATTACGCTCTCATATTTCCGAAACATTCTTTTTCAGATTTTTCTGGGATTTCTTGAATTTTTGTTTCCTTCTTGCAATGTGAGTTGTGGACAAGGGTTTTCGACCCCAGATTTCTGCATTTGAGGATCTGGGTTTGGTTCTTGGCTCTGTCTCGGATTGTTGCTTTGAGGTATGTACGTTTGTACGCATGCACATCTCAATTTGTATTCTTGTTTTTGTGGATTGACCCGTTGTTTGTCTCGGATTGAAATTAGGGATTTCTTCACGAATTTGTTCCCTGCAATTGGTACTTGGCGTATTGGCCCTTAGGGGTTGAAGGTTTTGGAAAGAAATGCTCATGAATGAGAGATAGATGCCGAAATCAATGGGGTTGGGTAAGATTAGGTTAGGTCTTAGGACAGGGATTATGGGCTGTATTTGCTCTAAGGGAGCTCTGATTAAGAAACTAACCAGGAAAAACTGTAAGGGGAAGGGTAAAGAAACAAAGAAACAGACTTCACCATTTAAGGATGCTGGTGAAAAAGATGATGCAGCCGTGGAGGTTGAGAATGGCACTCATGAGGGTACTCTACTGCTTATTTCTGCCAAGACTGGTGTGAAAGGTGCGGGCCCCACATCTTCAGACGAGGGAGAGAAAAAGCGCGTGGCGCGGAAGATTAAAAAGCATCACACTATGGATGGGGGTGGGGGTGGGGGTGAGGTGCAACCTCAGATAAGCAGAGTGTTCAGTGTGACAAATGGAGTTGATGGCGCACAGATCGTCGCAGGATGGCCATCGTGGCTTACTGCAGTGGCAGGGGAAGCTATCAAAGGATGGGTTCCTCGAAAGGCTGATTCTTTTGAGAAGTTAGATAAGGTATGCTCAACTTGAAAACACCATTTTTCTGTCGATTTCAATTGATATTAGGATCTGCGTGGTACTCTTCCATTGTTTATTACGCTTATCAGCTGGATAAGAAAAACAAGCAGCTTTTGATTTATTTGGATGAAATATAAATCACCAAACATTTTTCCTTTCAGAATATTCAGCATTTTCAGCCCAAATGCCATCACCAATTGGACCCTTCATGTGTGTTTATTTGAAGTTCATCACTTTTCTATCAAGTCTGTGGATTCTTAGGTGCTGCTCGGTAGCTTTTTAAATTTGAATAAGCCAAACAAGTAACTAATGGCATACTTATTTGTTTGAAATAAATGTTACAAATTCTCCTCCTTTTTGAAAATTCAGCAGATTAGCCATTTCAGCCCATAATACGTACCAAACAGACCTTAGACATGCATCTTTACTCTTTAGATTGTGTGTGTGAAGTGAGATGTCTTCCTTTGCTTTGGATCACATTCTTGGGTTTTTAATATTCCATGGACATGGTGCAGATTGGTGAAGGGACATATAGCAGCGTGTATAGAGCTCTTGACCTTGAAACCGGACATATAGTTGCATTGAAGAAAGTGCGGTTTGTCAACATGGATCCAGAGAGTGTTCGGTTTATGGCAAGAGAAATTCTCATCCTTCGTCGGTTGGATCACCCAAATGTTATGAAGCTCGAAGGTCTTGTCACTTCACGGGTTTCGTGCCAGATATATCTTGTGTTTGAGTATATGGAGCATGACCTTGGTGGTCTTAGAGCATCACCCGACATAAAATTTGATGAATCACAGGTGCATACTGCTATAAAATCTTTCGATTGTATAAAATTTATCTTCTCCCAAATTTTTTCTCTATTCTATAAAATCTTTCGATTTTATACAATTTTTCATTCTCACTTTCTTTCCAAATGTAAAACTAGATTACTAATAAAATATATATCACTTCTCTCCGCCCCTCACCTTCAAAATCCCCTACACTCATAAGGGCTAAGGGTCCATCTTGGACATAGAAAAACAAGTGAAAGAAGATAAGGTGGGAAATAGAGACAAAATTTGGGAGAAGATAAAAGATATGCTCAAACCCAATTTAATGTATTTTAGATATTTGTTCAAACTCATATTATTTTTGTATATTTCTATTATATGAAGACTCAATCTGAATGATTCATATATTGCTAATAATAATTACCAATTATATGTCATTTTTCCTTTTTCAAGGTAAAATCAAACTAAAAACATTCCTTACCATGTTTACATTTGCTTTTCATTTTTTCAGGATCCAGACAAACCCTAAAAATTATGTTTATTTTAAACCGGGGACTTTAGTGCCTTTCTTTTAATAAAAGAAAGTAGTGCTATCTAGTATTTATATTTCACCTTCTAAAGTCAGATTTTGAATGATGGGCAGATAAAATGTTACATGAAACAACTCCTTTGTGGACTTGAACACTGCCATGGTCGTGGGGTTTTGCACCGTGACATCAAGGGTTCTAATCTCTTGGTTGACAACAATGGGAATCTCAAGATAGGAGATTTCGGTCTCGCAACATTTTATCGTACCAATCAAACACAACCACTAACAAGCCGTGTAGTCACATTGTGGTATCGGCCTCCTGAGCTTCTGCTTGGTTCTACTGATTATGGAGTAGCCGTGGATTTGTGGAGCACCGGTTGTATCCTCGCTGAATTGTTTACAGGAAAACCTATCATGCCTGGAAGGACTGAGGTACATTCTAATCTTACTAGGTTTTGGTTGATGGTTTAGTCTCTGACACACCATGCTAAGTTGCTAACTCGCGCGCAGGTTGAACAGCTTCACAAAATATTCAAACTCTGCGGTTCGCCATCTGATCAGTACTGGAAAAATTCAAAGTTGCAGAATGCAACAATCTTTAAACCTCAGCAGCCTTATGAACGCCAAATCGCTGAGACATTTAAGGACTTGTCTCCACCAGCTTTATCACTTCTTGATTCTCTTCTGGCTTTAGAGCCCGAGCGTCGTGGAACTGCAAACTCGGCACTCCAAAGTGAGGTAATTAAGCTATATAAATTCTTCCTCTGTCCCAAAACTATGGTCACGCTTTGAATAACGTGCAATTGGTGCACTATTTCATCACTTTTAAAATCATTGTATCTACAAATTGGTTTATAAATAAAAAGTAGTATGAATTGCATATTTAAAAACTGCATAAAAAATTCTACAAAACAATATGCATCAAGAATATTTTATTTTATCATATCATCAACGAAAAGAGGCAAAACAAACAAAAGTTATCGAGAGCCCATAATAGTAACTGTGAGTGTGTGATGGTCTTTCTGGCACGGAGGGAGTAATTTTAAATGTTTTTAAGGCATGATGTCCATGTTTTCAGCAAGATGGTTTGTTTTTTGTTATCAGTTCTTCACAACAAAGCCTCTCCCATGTGATCCATCATCGTTGCCAAAGTACCCACCATGTAAGGAATTTGATGCCAAGGTGCGAGAACAGGCACACAGAAGGTATACTTCAAAGTAAAAATCCTAAGCAAATCTCTTTTCATCATTTTTTCGAGGGACAAATCTTTTTCTATCATAATAATACGGAGTACTAAATTAAAATAGAAATCATAGCCATATCTTGTGCAATGCACATACTGATCACTGGAACCATTTTGTAGCATTACATTCATGCAAAACTGTGAAAAGCATAATGATGATGTGAATAAAAAAAGTGGGTTCTATGTAAATATAACTACAGTCCGTTCGACCTCCGTCATCATTTCTAGGACTTCGACACGGCCGTGGATCACTAGAGTGGTTCGACGTTTGTCGTAATTTCCATAAAAAGACAATACGTTATCAACAACTTTACCGTATAAGGAGTACTTAAATAACAACACACGTTTCATAGGGCATAGTTCTTTAAACATCATTTCACCCAAAGTTAGTGAGATATTCCCAACTTATTGACTGGGACTCAAGGTTGAGATCCATACTCGAGCTCTTATATGTCATTGAATTTATAAAATTTAAATTTTATAAAATGGTTTCAAAGGAACAGAACTTGTCTCTTAGGGGGTAAGGCTCCACGTTAAGAAATTGCCAATATTTCACACTACTTTGCAATTTTGCATGTGATAGAAATGGCAAGGGCAGTTAAACTTCAAGAAACGCGGAGGGTTGAGTGAAGTCGATTCTTCAAGACACGGAGGGGGTTCAGAGTTGAGAAGGCACGCATCGTTCAGAGCTCGGGGACCCACAGCTCAGCTGTCGATGTTCTGTAATTCAGCAGCGCCCCATACCAGCACGAGTCTGGATTTTAGTAGGGACACAAGTGTCCATTCACACTGGCACAGGCTTGCCTCAAAATATAACCGAATAACCGATGCCATGTCTGTTCACTTGGGGAGATCCAATCCCTCTCAGAAGGATGATCAACCTCCTAGGAAGGATTCTACGATGGTAATTGTCTATTTTTTACTTGTTGCGAAAAGATTGCTGTGGAAAAATCTGGCCTAGTTGCTAGGTTGTCCTTGCGAAAAAAAGATGTGGGTCCCACCATTTCCACTTCTCTCCTCCCCATTCTGCAAGATCAGGTCCCATGTCCCAAAAATGTTACCAAGAAAATCCATTTCTCACTATTGAAAGTATTCTTTTTTCAAGAAAATCCAAAAATGTTACCAAGATGTGGGACAGGGGATCGATCTCCTACCCCATTTCTCCTCACCAAGAAAATCCGTTCGTCTCAAATTCTTCCTATTTCGCATTCACCAAAATAGTCTTGAAGCCTAAAAGTGTTTTTTTTCACTATTGAAAGTGTTCTTTCTTCATTCACTGCAGGACTATGCCCCAAAGAGCGGCAACATACACTACTCTGGGCCATTAATCCCAGCAGGGGGAAACATAGAAGAAATGCTCAAGGAGCATGAGAAGCAGATCCAAAAGGCTGTACGAAAAGCCCGTCTTGACAAAACCAGCAAGGGCCAGACAGTTTATGGCACAGAATCTCTCTTGCAGTATGTGGGCAATGGGCGGTAACTTTTTCCCCGGGAAAAAAATTTACGGACGAGAACTAAGTTTTAGCAGTTACACCATATAACAATGACTTTGAGATGGTTTCTTTTTTGCTCATATTTGTTGTTGCAGAAACATGTCCAGTTTTTCATGATCAATCCTTCTGTATGTAAAAAAGGAAAGAAAGAATTTAAAGAAAAAAGGGTGGTCATTCTTGCAATTGTATAGGAATCTCTTAATGTTTGTTTTTATACTTGTAGAAGAGCCAGCCACAGCCAGATCTAGGCAGTAATATTGCATCTTAGGATCTTTGTTTCCTGGACAAATGTTAATTTCATATTGGAATCTGGTTTACAAGGAAGATTTTGTACCTTTTCTCTTGTTCCAAAAATAAACTTTTCATTTACTTTTTGTTGCCCGATTTAAAGAAATAGTATAAACCGTGTTTTGGGACAAATGAAAAATAAAAATGGTAGAAATTTGTTCAGGTTCTCGAACTGTAACCGCAATCGGTAAATTTAACTCCCTTGGGTGGTTTTTTTCACCTTGAGACCGATAGAGTATGGCGTAACATCGGGAAGAAGTTACTGGGGTAATCTAGTAATGCCATTTACCCTTGGGTGGTTTTTTTTGTCAATTTTGATTCAAAGTTTCCTCAATGAAAAAAATCAAAGTTTTTATCTTAAGTCAAATTTTGTTTTATGTAATGTTTTAAACAAAATATAACATACGCCTAAATGATTACAGAAACATTACGGAGTACTTCATGTACCCGGAGTACTTTGGCTTTTCTTGAATAAATTTTATAAATTATAACTAAAAATTACATAAAAACTATTCCAGAGTTGTGATGAAACTTGGTATCTATAAATTTAGCTTAAAATTGATAATGATATTCCACATTATTTATTGATGTTTTTGTAGAACTAAAATAGTGATATTTACTCCATATTCATATTTTAGATTTATCTGAATTTATTAGGTGTAAATAATACTTCGATCCTATCTCGACATGAGATGTACTTGAAAATGGAAATATCACAAAAATATCAAAGATACATTTATCTTTGTTTCTCGTTCCTTCAATAAAATTATATTTATAAAATATTTTTTTTCTGATAAAGGTATTCTCATTTTAGGTCAACCGTATGTAATAAAATTACAATTTTTTAAAGTTTTTTTTGAATCATTTATTCTTTTCTTTTAGAGAGGTATAAAGCATTTAGACAATGCTTTTTCATTTTATTTCTCTCTTAAATTTGTTTGATTGTGTATGGTAGAAGCATATAAAAAGAAACAAAAGGTTTTCATTCATTCATCATCTTAAATCTTAATTTTGCCTCAAAGTGTCCGAAGGCGTGAAGAGAACTGAAACAGGAAGAGCAGAGCAGAGCAGAGCAGATCGAAGAATCCATTCAGCCATGAGTAACGAATAGTGAGTAGAATCATTCTTCATCCCTTTCTTCTAGATTTATCCAGCTGATTTTCATTTGGCGTTTCCTAGTTCATCAGTTGATTTCCGATTTTTCTGTTTTTGCAGTGATTACTTGTTCAAACTGTTGCTGATCGGCGACTCTTCCGTCGGGAAGTCTTGTCTTCTTCTCAGATTCGCTGTATGTTTATCTCCTTCTCCGCTCTTTACATTTATTGATGATGTATATGTCTGAACTACTTGCAGGTTTTTGTGTGCTTATCAATAGGGAGTAATTTCATTTCCCTAGGGTTTTGAGTGTCTAACCTTGTGTTTTACTTAAGTGGCGATCTTCTTATGAATGTATTTTTGTAATTTTGGATGTTGTTTAGTTGATGATTTGATGAAGCTAATTGTAGTCTTTATGGTGTTGGGTTGATTGTGCCAGGATGATTCGTATGTGGACAGTTACATTAGCACGATTGGAGTTGATTTTGTAAGACAGTGTCTCATTCCAATCTATTCCTGTGTCATTTTGAAAACAGAAATCTTATCATATCCATTGTTTTGCAGAAAATTAGGACTGTGGAGCTTGATGGGAAGACGGTCAAGCTCCAAATTGTGAGTATTCTCTCTTTTTTATCTGGATAGGTACATACTTAATTGATAGTGGTGGCACAGGAATGATATAGAAAGTAACAGCAGTTTGTTTCATTAGTGATTTTAAAAAAAAGTGTTCTGAATATACAGTTACACCTTTCTAGATGAATTTCCGTGTTGTAATGCGGCTAATGCCTTTTGTTATTTGTTTTCCTAGTGGGATACTGCTGGCCAGGAGCGTTTTCGGACTATTACAAGCAGCTACTATCGTGGAGCACATGGGATTATCGTAAGATGTTATATTTTATGACATGCTAATTCATCTATTCACATTAATTATGTATCAACATAAGTTTTAACAAATGCCATGAGAGTTGTTTGGCTACATATGTTATGTATCAACATCTTATGAGTTTGTCACGTTTGAATAACTGCATGTTTAATTCTTTGTGGAGACAATGATATAGTTTCCTCCTTTTAAAAATATTAGGTTTGTTAGGCCTTTGGATTTAGATTATAGTTTAGTTATGCAAGTATTCTTTCTTTCATCCAAATGGCTCTTACACGTGTGTGTGTGATAGATTGTCTATGACGTAACTGAAATGGAGAGCTTCAACAATGTCAAGCAATGGCTGAATGAAATTGATAGATATGCAAATGAGAATGTATGCAAGCTCTTAGTAGGTAATAAATGTGATATGGTGGAGAACAAGGTTGTGAGCACAGAGACAGCAAAGGTGTTAATGACATGTTTACTAATGATATAATATAATAAATAAATGTGTCCTAATCTTGGTAATTGGACAAAACAATATTGTTTGATGATACTTAATCATAATGCAGGCATTTGCCGAAGAGCTAGGCATTCCTTTCCTCGAGACTAGTGCAAAAGATTCCATCAATGTAGAGCAGGCTTTCTTAACCATGGCTGGCGAGATTAAGAAAAAGTAATAGCATCATTACCTCCTACCTCACTGTTCCTATGATCTCTAGCTTTGTACTGAATTTTGCCCATTTTTTAATGATTCTTCCGTAGCATAAGGACTTGGCACTAACACTAGTACTATATTTTGCTAATGAAAATTTTCCACTTTTGGTCCCAGAACTATTAGGTCAATCACATTTTTAGTCACCAACTTCCATTTTTACTACTTTAGGTGCAAGGTTATGAATTTCGTGCCACCTTTGGTCCTACGACTGCTTGTCTAACCAAATGCTAGATGAGTGACTATAATTGACCTGAAATGGCCAAGAAGTGGCGAGAAATTCATAGTGGTGCACCATTCGTGAATATAATGGAAGTCAGGGGCTAAATATGGCAGTGACCAATGGTGGTGGGACCAAAAATTGGAAAATTCTCTTTTCCTAATCACAATAGACAGAATTGTAAAATACTTAGGGTCCATTTGGTACATGGAATTTACGGAATCGGAACTGAATTGGGAGTGAAATTCTATGGAATTGATTTGGATGGAATTGAATTCTCTCATTCCAAATCCACATATTTTTGTGCTACCAAACAGCATAATTGGAATTGTTGCCCCCAATTCTAATTCCATAGTTTGAATTCCGTGTACCAAACGGAGCCTTACATGTGATCTAGTAGCCTGCGAATAGTAAAAACATGACAACAATGGTCGCCAATTGTGACATTATTAGTGGCTAAGAACTATATTTTGTTCAATCTTTTTATGAAACTGATTATGTTGTTTTAAAGGTGTTTGATAGAATATAGAAACGGGTCGATTTCCAAACCAACTTTTCCCACGACTGTAAACCTTGATTATGATAATCGTTGTGGCTTTAGTTATTTTGTTTAAAAATCACATCGGGAACCTCAGCCAAACACATTCAGTTCTATTCTCTTTTACATATTCTGCACAAATTTCATTATTTTCTTTCGTGCAAAATCATTTCTATTTATATCAAACATCAATGCCCAGATTCATAGCGCAACAAGTGTTCATATTTTCTGATAACGCATTTTATTATTTCTATCATGCAAAATCATTTCTATTTATCTCAAACACACTTAATACCCAGATTCATAGTGCAATTCGTGTTCATATTCTCTGCTAACTTGTGTCGAATCGTTACTGCAGGATGGGTAGCCAGCATGTGGGAAACAAGAAACCCGCAAGTGTTCAAATCAAGGGACAGCCAATTGACCAGCCGAAAAGCAACTGCTGTGCTTAACAACTCCCCTCAGGTTCTTGCTTTATGTTTCTTGTTCATGTTAACAAACACTGAAAGCAGAACACTGGCTTTGTTTTGTGCACAAATAGTCTCAAAGCGCTATCTTCTTCCCCTGTAACCGTTCACAGACGATTGCTGCCTTGTGGGCATCGCTCCTAACATGTACTACTATTAGCCAAGTGATGATTGTGTAACATCTGTTTGTTTTTTTTTCATGTTTTGATAACTTTCTTTCTCCAGAATTTGTCTAACCATATCTGGGGCAGTTCTCCAATGCTTTATTATTATATAATAAGTACTCCGTAGTATTATTATTGTTATAAAATTTTAATTTTTTTTTTTACGACGTATTGAAATGTAAACGGTAGATGGTTGAAATTTATTTAGAAAGAAAAAATTTCCTTAAGAAAGAAAAATATTAAAGTAAAAGATTATTTTGAGACATCTGAAAATTAAATTGTAAGTTTGGTTATGATTGGGGGGTGGGGGGCGATAGAAAAATAATTTTTATTGATGCACATACAGTACTCCGTAATAGTTTTATTATTACTACTTCATATTCATTTACTCATCCATAAAAATATTACTCCGTATTTTTTTGAAAATCAAACATTTCATTAATTAAAGATATTGCAGTACATCATGCGGGGGGTCGTTCCACCATTCATGGCACCCGTTAATTGCCAATGTAGCAAGGGTGTGTGCAATCATATTTGACAGTCTAGGGATATGACAAAAATTAACAAAACGAAAACAATATGTAAGATTCTTGCATTCATCTTCCAAGGCACTCAGATATGACCGAGCACCCACACGCCATTCTTCAAGGCATGAACCGCTTGAGCACAATTTGAGAAAATAGAGACTTCTTGGATATTTTTCTCCTTGAGCCATGAGAGCGCCTCCTTAATAGCCACTGTTTCCATGTATCTCGTCACCAAGGGACATGAAACCAATTTGTTGAAGCCCCCAACGAACCTGCCTGCGCCATCAAGCAGAGCGGCCGCCACCGATGTAGAATTATTTTGATCAAACACGGCAGCATCAACGAAGCAGCGTGTTATTTCTGTCCGACTCATCTGAGCCACTGGTGCGTCGACGTCGACACCGTACCACCATGCAACATACGTCTTGTCCTAGCCATGCATACCTCTCGTGCCCATTCCGCCACGATCTCAGGTTTAACTACCTTTAATTCCCATCAAGCATGATTTCGGGCCTTCCAGATTGCCCATATGCCTGCAGCCACCACTGCCAATTCAAGAGTTGACATTGAGCTGAAAGCAAACAATAAGCAAGCAATAAAATTATTATGCAAACCTGTAGCTATCCTACTGCCAAGGAGCCTCCAAATTGTTAGAGCAAAAGGACAAAGTAGAAAAACATGCTCTAATGACTCCTCTGGCCCACCACAAATACGGCAATTTAGATCAATAACAACTCCTATGGTTCCAAGTGCTAATGTCGTGGGTAAGACACCCCTTAAACATCTCCAAACACAAGTTTTGTACTTTAGGCAAAATTGGCAGCCCCCAAAGTCGGCCCCACTGGTCAAAAATGCCAACCTGAGATGCTTCCCCGCACAACTTCTTGTAAGCACGTTTCACAGTGTAAACTCCATGTGTTTCCGCCACCCAGAACCAGCAGTCTTTGCGGGAGAGAGACAACGGAGTACGATGGATACGATTTAGGGATTTAGCGAATTTTAGTGGATTTAGCGAATTCAGGTCCAAATCACTGAGTGAAGTCACAGTGATAAAGTAAACAATTTAGGGGGAAATTGACTGTACTGACATTGTCTTCAATTAAAGTAGAAAATTTAGGGGGGAAATTGAAAGAAACAAAATTGACGTACAGAGGAGATGGCGACTAGAAGAAGATGAGGAAGACGTTCGACTGGAAGATGATGAAGAAGAGATGGCGAACCAAAGGAGACGATAATTGGAGTTGTCAAAATCTTTACTTTTTTGGTGAGATTTGAGAGTGGATTTGTATTTATACCTAACACATAAAAATGCATCAAAATCCATATATTTAGGGTACGCCCCACTCAGAACTCTTATTCAACACAGAGTCAACCAATAATGTAACACCTGAATGGTATATAATTGGATCAATGTAGATAAATTTAGAAAAAACAAACCTAAGTCGATTCATCAATAGGCAGTGTGTTTTGTATACCTATGCAGAAAACAAAAGTTTTCATGCATTTCATTGCCTTCCACTGAGAAACTGACTTTGTATCATTTAGAAGAAGACCTAAAAAATAGCATAAATACTAAATAATACTCCGTATCTAACAATGTTAGTAAAAAAAGATACAGTAGATTCAAAGTGAACTAGTAAGAACATCAATAGCTACAAATATTGGTGAAACACGATCCTGAAACACATATAAAACAATAAAACCCTGCTAAATTAATCATGAGAAATCAATTCAAGACAAAAAATGAGACACTGTGCGTGAAGAATGACACTTTGCACTATTGTTTTTTTTGGCCCATTGCTTACTGCAGTCCATCCCAAAACCCAACCATCCGTGCCCCGCCCACCCTTTCACCCAATTCACTGCCTAGGTTAAACATTGCATTACCCAGCCTCATTGTTGCAGCAGTTCTACTATGAACCTATAGTCCATATTGATTCATCAGCCCAGCATCCCTACCCACAGACCCCTCTCTGCCCAAGATCAAACATAGTGGCACTGTCAAGGCCCCACCATTTATAACCCTAACCTAAATTTGTTGTTAACCACTGGAGGGTGTATTCAATCAAGATTCTGGTAGATTTTTTTAGATTATTTAGAATTCGTGAATTTTGTAAAATCCATAGATTGTTTTAAGTTTGTGCAGAGTTAACTAGATTTTAATGTATTTTATGAGCAGGATTTTATAGGATTTTATTTGATTATTTATAATTCATTGATTATTTATACATAAATATGAATTACTTTTAAAATCTATACATTGTTCTTGTGGAAAAACTCCATCACGCTGGCTAGAACAACCCCAACTTGGCATCAGTAACTCCTAACCCTAATCACTCAAAACTAGCCCCAACTTTGTTTGACTACACCAGTTTGAAGCAACAAAAGCCTCAACGTGCCAATTGCAGGGCGTCCTCTTTTCCCCATGAAGTTATCACAGAAGAAACAACCCAACAAGAGTTGTTCAAGGCCAAAAATCCAGTGCTCAGTTTGTTACCTTCCTCAAATGTAAACGAAACTCCAATTTCAGAATCAGAGGATGCTTACCAGGTCGCTCAAAATTCCTCAAAAATCGGCCTTGAATTCAGCAAGAGTAGCAACGGATCTGGAATTCAAGTTCCCGCGATGAACAGTAACTCGAGTTCATTCTTAGTCGATTTAGCGAATTCAGGTCCAAATCACTGAGTGAAGTCACAGTGATAAAGTAAACAATTTAGGGGGAAATTGACTGTACTGACATTGTCTTCAATTAAAGTAGAAAATTTAGGGGGGAAATTGAAAGAAACAAAATTGACGTACAGAGGAGATGGCGACTAGAAGAAGATGAGGAAGAAGTCCGACTGGAAGATGATGAAGAAGAGATGGCGAACCAAAGGAGAGGGTCAAATTTGAGAGTGGATTTGTATTTATACCCAACACATAAAAATCCATCAAAATCCATATTTTTTACAATTTTTTAGAATTTATCAAATTTTGAATACCAATAGATTTTGAAAGATTTTTTAAAATATGAATTGAATACATTCAGATTTTAAATAACTTTTTAAAATCTAAATTAAAAACGGATCGTTAGAATCCAAAAAATTCCATCAAAGTACACCCCCTAAATCGTTCCAAAACCGACCCCAAATTCATAGAATTAAAGACTTGAAGAAATCAATAGAGAGTGAAAATCTAACCAGTCACGTCTAGGAGCAAAATTGATTGAAATACTACAAGACTCGTACCCGTGCGATGCACGGGCTATTAATTGACATATAATTACTCAATATATTTTTTGAGGTAAAACTCAATATTTTTAATAAGGAAAAATGTTACAAAAACATAAAAGCTTATATAAATTGAAAAGGTAGAAAAAAGAAGGATTGCTTTAAAAGTGTTACGTCGTATAAGTTTTGAAACACTTCTTTTTAAACTACATTCGTAATTTGATTACATGAAAAAGGATCTTTATTACAAATCAAAATCTTTAACACTTTTCGTGTGTTGCACGGTATGAATATTTAACTATTATTTTAAAGAAAAAATGAATAAATTTTACTCCATATGATACAACTAAATTGGATTTAAATAAAGTGAATGGGTGAGAAATCAAAAAAAGAATTTATATGATAGATAAAAACTTAATAAACATTTGAATTAACACTAATAAAAATAGAGGCCAGTTACCATGACATTGGAAATTAATGCCATGGGATAACCCAAAGGTGCTCCTGTACCCCGTTCATAAAATTGATGGTTCCTACCTCACTAATCCCCAAGTACCAAAAATCTTATAAGCATTATTTAAATATAAATAACTTAAAATAAAAAGAAGAAAATGGTGTTATCTCGTCGTCTGTAGTTTTTTGATTGCAGGAATTAAATCATCTATAGACAAAGTTATCGTTTCGATCCTCCCGATACTCTATTCTCAGGATACTAATCTCTTATGTTATAAGCCGTCCGACTTCACCATTGTCAACTTTGAGAATAGATCAAACTCATCTCCCTCTCGCCTAAAAAGAATCCAACACACTGAGTATTAAAATTTTTATTAGGCATTTCCAAACTACAATTCAAAACTTCAACAAACATATATAGATGATCTTAGACCTTAAAAAACACATAAAACCTCACCTCAAGGAAATTAAATTTTCAATTAGTAACAATTATTATACCACTAATCCAAATAATCGTAATGAAACTTAAAATGTAATAACTCAATGTAGCCACATACCCTCTTGATAACCATCATATGCGCATTTTAAAATTCATAGTGCATAATTTCTAAACAAACCTATAAATCAAAAAAAGCTAATACAACAGAGAAAGAACATTACTAAATATTCGGTCAAGATGCATCGACATTCAGCAAATTCATTTTGAGGTTTCAGATAAAATTAAAAATATAAAATAAATCTGAACAAAGGGAGATATATGACCATAGATTATTGCCTGTGTCCAACTCTATCAACCTCTGCCTAGGAACGGAGTCCATAAACTCAGACTGAATCCATGTTTTGGATAAAAATTAAACTGAATTTGAAATTAAAGTTGTGTAAGAACCTGGCCTTCTTCGCCCCAGTGAAATCCAATTGTTGTCGTCCTGGATACTTTTGAAACCCTTGGCTCGGCAAAGGTTTTCGTCGCCCCGTTTGCAGAGAGAGGACCGAAGACCGGAAAAAAAAAAATTAAACCTTTAAAAATTAATTTATACAAAGTAATTAATCGGTATGAGGTAATAAAAAGAGATACTGAAGAAGCTTCTTAGGCAATGATCAGGATTACATATTGAATGCTCGAGTTTTAAACTGAGAAAGACAAAGGGAAGGATTACATACCCAAAAATAGTCCTTTGGACTTGAATAAGTTCTATGCCGCCCTATAAAAGAATAGCCAAATTATCCTACAAAAGTTTCCAAATCATTCACAACCAAATCCAAACATAAAACTAACTCATGGATAATTTGAAAAGAAATTACAACAATTTTCTCAAAAAGTAAGAAACAAAATACCTGGAACTAATTTCAGACCAGCAACTGATGCAGCTCTTCCTTCTAAATAGCTTTTTCAACCAATTTCGCTTCTAATATCGTATGTGTGATGGATTAAATGAGAAAAGTGAAAATTACTCTGGTCTAAGCTGCTACCATTGAAACACTCAGTACTATAACCTTAATGGAAATTAAATTACTAATTAAATATAATTTCCTTAACAAAAAATAGAGCATCTAATTTGATATGGCGTCAAATGGAGATGAAGAAATTGTGGTATTGGAAGATAGATTCTCTTACTCGTCTTGTTTATATACCATAAACCCATGCTTTAGCCGGAGATAGAGATAGAGATTAGTGTCATCACCCGAGACCTTTGAACACTACTTCCTCCATACCCATCCAAGCGACAACTATCCTCCTCAGGGCATCACTCGTTTCGTGAATTTGGATGCAATCATTATACCATGAAAAATGATTTGTGGCCATTGAATAAAAACAACATATATAGCTAATCCTAAATGTTGTAATATCCCTACAATTGAAGTATAAATACCAAAAATACCCCGAACAAACTTCTCCCTTAAGATGTCATTGCTGATTTCTTGGACCATACATCTCTGTGACTCTGTGAAGCAATTCTTCGAACACATATTGAGCATAGCTCGAGAAGTCTAGAAGCCAAACTCGATCTAATTTTTATCTACAAAATCACACATATATGTAAGTAAATCTGTAAAAAATTGGAAAAAGGCCTGCCAAGCATTTCATTGAACAAAAAAATTAACAATTCAAAAAAAAACTATAATTGAATCTAGACTGTGCCGTATCTTAAAGATTATCTCCCCCACTCCACTATGACAGTTAATTTTGGTTGAAAAGAAATTAAAATAATAATGGAGAAATTGAAAGAATTGTTACCCCTTTGGAAGGTTTTATTTGTCTAGGATGTGTGAGGTGGCCATCATCTGAAATGCCCAACGGAATCCATTTAATTGGCTGCAGCAATGTGACTGCACACAATGACATTACAATTACAGAAGCTAGGTTTCGAAACTATCCCACACCATGAATATACTTCGCACCTAATGAAAATTGAAGGGAAAAAATGGGTAAATGAAATTACACACCTTCTCGTCCCTATAGATATCAAATCAGAGCTTTTAAACTTTTGAATCTGCGTCTGGTGCTCCTCCCATCTTTCAATTAAAAGGATGCACCCAATTGAAACTTGAAACCGCAAGCACTACCCCCAACCCACATATTGCAGTGATTCTGCTCTCTTTGATTCCGTTTGAGTTGATGTTGCACCGCAGTGAGTTGATGTTTCTGTGAAACATCATCAGGTCAAATATGCAAAGATAAAAACAAAATAAAAAACGGAAGACAAATACATCAAGTTTAGAAAAATTTGTATCAATGCCATTGAATAAATATATTATTCTATTTAAAAATGAATATTTACATGGAAGCAAGATTATACAATGCAACTACCTTGCCTAGCTGTTTCAACCTCCTACGTAATTGTTGTCAGAATCCCTTTCTCGGGCTAAGGGTCAAAAACCTAGCCAAACCCACCACCATCCTCACCATGGTGGCCTTCCACCTTCTGCAAGCCAAGGGTTTTAGATCTAGAAACCCAAATGATCAAAAGCCTAAAATTATATTGTAAATATAGAGTATAGATATATTGGGAAAAAAAGAAGAAAAAAACATTACCTTCACAGTAAATCAATTAAACTAATATATGTTCTGCTGCAAAAATCACTCTATAGCCGTGCTAATATAGACTTCCAGAGCAAGACCCCCACCTGGCTGTCCTCTTCTGCCTTTGTTATATACTCCGTGTATATATATATATATATATATATATATATACACTACAAGAAAATATCAATTTTGCAACCGAAAAATTGCAACGGACATATTTCCATTGCATAATTGCAACGGTAATTTTATTTGCAACGGATTATTTTTTGCAATAGATTGTTTGCAACGGAAAATGAAAAGTTCCGTTGCAATTATCGCAGGAGCTTGGCGCCATTTTCCGGGAACGTTTTGCAACTGATTTTTGCAACGGGTTTCTGTTGCAGAGTATTCGCAACAGATTTCTGCAACAAGATTTATTCGCAACAGTTTCTTGCAACAATTTTCCGTTGCAGAGTAATTGCAACAGATTTTTGCAACGATGTTTCCTTTGCAGTGTATTTGCAACAGATGTTTGCAACGGATTACCATTGTAAAATATTCGCAACAGGTAGTTGCAACAGAGTGTCCGTTGCAAATTTCTCGCTACATTTTTAATGTTTTTTAAAAATAAGTTATCGAAACTAAAAATACAAAACAAAAAGTAATTTTTATAAAAAGCCTTAAAAAGTAAATGAAACTAAAAAATGAGTTATACATTTAATTAAAATTAAAATAAATTTGACCCAATCAACATACTCATCTTAATACGGAGTATTTCATAAAATAAGATAGTCGTCGTGATGCGACTTGTTTTGTAGAATTGGTTATGTAATTTGGCATTATTGTATACATTTTATTTATATTAGTGACATTAATTAGTTTTGATTATTTTATTAATTAGTGCATATCGTCATCTCGTCAGAAATTGATCGACTATTTTAATTTATGTAATTAATTAGATTATACAATTATTTAATTTGGATAAACCTCATAAAAAACGAATAACCTAGCTAATTGATTGGATGTGTGGATCAGAGTTCATGTTTGTTCAACAACTTCAAAAATCTTACGGCGGGGGTCCGGGGCGGCAGCCCCTGGTAGTGGGGTCCAAGGGCGGCAGCCCCTGGCGGGGTCCAAGGGGCAGAGCCCCTAGCTGGGGTCGAGCTGCTAGTTGACCTGATTTTTTTTTTTGAACGTTGTTGCTTTATGAAAATTCTTTGATTTTTTTATTTGGAGTCTAAAATGGAGTCCAAAATGAATTTAGTAAATATATTCAAAATAAGAGATAACAAGAATATTTTATTTATCAAGTAATAAAAGTAATCATTTAAAAAAAAAGCCTAAAAAAAATAAAGGTAATCCTTTCAATAAAATCAACACTTACATTAAAAAAAACTAAATAAAGAAACTACTCCTTCCTCGCCTAAAAAACGGAACACTAATCCGATCCTCAAATCGTCGAGTCCTTAGGTTTACTTAGGTTTACGGTAGACTCCTCAAATCCTCACTCGCAGAAGGCGTCCTAATCGCAAATTGGAGACTTCTCTTTCAGGCGCGACGACGGCCATCTTGAATCGGATTCGCTGCGCTCTTCAGATCTCCACCATCGCTGCTAATTGTATGTATATTTTTCCTTACCAGTAGATTTTTATGTATGTTCTCGTGAATTTTTGATGCATTCATGTTTAATTAGGTGTTTGTACTATTCATTTGGCTGCACAAATTCTTCACTTAATAAACTTATTTTTTTTGTTAAGTGAAAGGGGTCTAGGTTTAGAGCGGTGGGCTCGAGAGTGGGGGCTGGGCCGTGATTGGGGTTAGGATGG